GAAAACGCTGATAATTACCTTCAAACTAACATAATTTTGGCAATAATTAAGTTTCTATATAATTCACTGAACCTTATGTAGCCTTTTGGGTTTTTAAGCTGTATGCTTTGAATTTTCATTTAAACAAAGATCTTAAGTATAAAAAAATGCGTCTTACATGTATCTTGAACTCTCTCAATTAAATCTTATTTACCTGTTTCCATTTTCTTTTAATTGCTTTACTAATGTGATTTTGTGGAAGCAATCTGTTTATTTGCATTTCATTTCTTCTTTTTCATTAGCGTTACATTTTTTATTTACTCACAGCACTCACCACTCATTGGGAAGTAGGATTTGTTTCCCTAAGTCAACTTTACTCACACTTTAGCCTTAAATATGTAGTCAGAAGCTGCAACATAAATTTCCGCTCTATGACAAAAAATATGTATTGAATTACCAAAGTCAAAGTGAATAAATCATATGAATTGGGTAGACAGCCTTATGACCCAAAACAAATTGATTTATTATTGACTTATTTATTCTTATATCCTGAGGACCTGATGATAAATTTGTTTCAAAATGTGTAACGCATTGATTATGAATACCCATAATATGCCTTAGCGATTGCTCAAAATACAAGATATTATTAAAATGAATAAAACATATAATAGATAATTGAAAATGAGTACTGATTTCACATTGGAATAATGGTGAGTGATTTATTGAAAGGGTATTTAATCATGAGGGCCCCAAAAGTACTGAATACTTCTTATATAGTATCTAAATACCCAGAATAGTGAGTCAAGTTAGGAATTGTTGTGTGAAATGTTTAAGGAACATTTTTCTTTTAATCGTTGCCTGCTCATAAAATAATCATTAAGCTCTTAAGTGCTTGCATACATTATGCTAATGCGAAAATATTGTTTTAGTGATAATTTAGTTTGTCATTATAAAAAATCGTAACATATATGCAAATATTTATCTTTGCGCTAAATGCGAGCCTATTTCTGCAGGTTGGTCACACATTGAAGGCAATCTCGGAACGAGAAAAAGAAATTGCCGCCAGCGTTTTGGCAACAAACAACGCTGTAAATTTTGGTGAACAATGCGAGCAACTACAACAGCAACAACAAAAACAACAACAAAAAAGGAAGAACATGTTTGGCAGACAAACAATTGCTTTTAATGTCGATGATTAAACGCTTAAACTGAGCCACTTAAACACAGCTTGTGCGTTGCTTTGTTGTCTACTTTTAGGCCATTTAACCGACAAGCAGCTGAGCCAAGTTTTCTCGGTTCGAGCGTTGAAAAGAGTTTACGCAAAACACACAGATTGTTAAATGGGGCGTATGAGCAACGTGCGGCGCTTAGAATTGCCAAATTAATGCTCAAGTGGCCATTTCTTTTCCCTTCCCCCCAAGCTCTATTCGTCATTGGCTGGGCTCCAGAAACAACAACAACAGCAACAGCGAAACAAGAGAAAAAGTTTCACCAAGAAAAGTTGTGCTGCCGAAGCCACGAGGTATTTTATTCAGTATTTTAACTTTTTTTTATTATTAAATTTGCACAGCAAGTTGGCCAACTTTTGTTGCTACTTAATGCTGCTTTGTTTATTAAATAAATATTTGACACAACTTTTGGGTTTGCCGCCTTGATTGCCCACGCAAAATGGTAAAGGTCACAGCATGAGAAGTCCTAAGCGTAAATTTTTAAAAATTATATAATTTAATGACCGACATAAAAATGAAGTCATTATAAGATTTGTTAATGGAATGGCGGCCAAGTTTTATTTGCACTTCTCTCTTTTATTCAGTTAGCCCAATAATTTGTAAAGTTTTCTCATATCATATTCTGCTTGATCCACTTTAAAGCGATTGGAGAGTATGCTGGAAGCGAAGTTGCTTTAATGGCTAATAAACTATATATTATCAGCTTATTTATCTACAGCTATAATGGCAATCGTATCCCTTTTTAATTACATAATTCTACAAAATTCTTAACTCAGTAATAAATAATAAAGTTTTTGCATAGCCCCATTTATTTATAGACCAATTGGGAACAGCAGCTCTGACTGCCAGTAAAACACCGCACAGAAGTCTTTAGCATTATATGTTTTTTTTTGGCACAGCCAAAACAATTTGCCTGCCAGACTCGGCCCTCAAATGGGCTCAATTGTTTGGGTCAACAAGGGGCAAGATGATTTGAATTGGATGCCTCTCGAATTTCACTGTGATATTTTTTTAGCAGTAAACAGAACAAATATGCAACGCTCTGATGAAGCCTACAGCAACTAACTGAAGCGGACAACAACAATAAAATATAAGCTAGTTTGTGTATCTGCTTACAGTTGTTGAGTGTGAATGCTTTGTGCTTCTGTGTGAGCGATTCAAGCAAGACAAAACCCCATTAAACATACAACTGGCGCTCAACCTCAACATCAGATTGCTATTGTGGCTATTGTGCTGCTGGCACTGAGCTGTATCTTCGAGTGGCTTAAATAACCGACACCCCGTTCGGAATATATCTCATATAACGTATACGCCACGCCAAAGATCTCCGCCTTTGTTTAATGACCACTCAGGCGCCAGGCAACGAGCATCCTGAACAAATATGCAACAAAATGCATGTTGAAATAGCAATCCGCAGTTGGAAAGCAACAGTTTTACAAGCAAATACATATATATTTGGGGCACGTATGCCGAACGCACATGATGCAATAAGTTTCGTGAACTCATCTCTGCACTGAATTCAATTCGGGCCGTAATAAAACCTTGGCTCGAGTAAATACAACTTATGGACTATTTTTATATTGCAATGAAAGTAAATCCCTCACTCGCTGCCTGCCGATGTTTTTGGGCCAACTAAATACAGGAAACTTAACAAACAAAAAAACTCTGCCTATGAAATTCGAAGCACGTTCATAAAGCACACAGCACATATGTATATAAGTAAATATATGTATGTTTATATAATGTTCGTTGACACGCAAAAGTTTTTCAATATGAAGCATAACCAATGCACGTTTCATTCAATTATATCGAACCAGCAGGGTTTGTAAAATTCCCATAAAAGCGATTTCATACGGCACAATAGTGGTTGGAAACCCAACATTTTCAAATTACCAACAAAAAAAAAAAAAATATATAAAAGACGTGACGTATATTTTCGTGACATAAATATGTAAACACTTTTTAAATTCAAACAAAATGATAGCAATGCCATAAATAAAAAGAAAAACCGCTTATAATTCTTTTAAAACTGGCATAATAGTGCTTTTTTTGCATGGGCTGCATTACTTAGAATTTCGAATCATTTCAAAGTTTTGATTAAAGAAGCCTTCAGCCACACAATACCCCACAATAGCTCATGAACTGGCCGACTAATAACCAATGATTATTTCTCACATTCCGTGTATTATTCATTCATAAAATACGCAAGACGCGAGGGAGCAGCACTGGCACGTACAATGTTGACAGCGAAGTGGCGCGCACGTGGCGTCTACGGGCCGTAAGCTGACCACCCACTAACCAAGCAACCACCTCAAACCACCCCCAAACCACCACAGGCGCCAGGCAACTGCAGCCGAGTGTGTGTCAGCATCTGGAAAATTTCCCAAACAAAGCCAAACGAAATTTCCCACTGTTTGTCGGTGCGAAGAGAGCGCGTTGAGAGAACGGCAAGTAAGTGAAGAGCGAGGCTGGCGCTGGCGTCGACTGTGACTGCGGCAGCGACTGATTTTCACTGGCTTTTCAGACCCAATGGACCTGTTTGGAAAATTCGCACAGTCAGTTTGTTTTAAAATTTTGCCGCGTTGCGTTCGCCTGCGAAGCGTTCAAAGTTCGCACAAAATCGAATGAATAATAATTTTTCAAAATATTGCGCGCGTAAAAATTGTATAAAGTTAATTTTTAAAAAATAAGGAAGCTAGAACGAATAATTGCCAAAGTAATTTCACCAACTGCTCGTGCTCAGAATAATATAGAAATCCCTTGGAGAAGTTAAAACTTGCTGTTGAATAACTTATGCAATTTGCAACGCTTCATTTTGTGAGAATAAATTAATATAACTAAATAAATAATAATAATAAATAAATAAAAAAACACATAAAATTGTGCGCTATTTAGCGACACCAGATTTCGGTCACAGTTGTAAGTTAACAAAAAAAATATATACAATGGAAAAATAAATGGAAACAATAAAAAAATAATGAATGCAAATAATAATCAAGGCACACAACAATTAGAAAATTCTCGTGTATGCAAATTTGTCAAATAAAATCTATAAATAGTTTAACTGATGTTTCTTTAGAATTGGAAAATTATGGCTCGAATTTATTTGAGCAATTATGAATGAATAAGAATGTGAAATTCAAGCCAAATTTTTAATATTAATATATTATGTCTTATAATATCATGAAAATCTTAATTTCGGAAACTTTAAGCCCGCATTATATGTTTTTTCTTGTTTTTATTTTTGCATAATGTTGTGGCGGGACTCATAGTTTTCATCTGTTATATAATACAAGTTAAATCGAATTTTCGTATAGGGTACATATAGCTAAATTAGAGATCAGTTAATCATTTATCGAGCTTGGAGTAATGCTCCAAAGTTCATGTATTTAATTTGCCGAGATGTTAGTAAAGTTCAGTTTGATATTTATATATTTTACGCAAGAGTATGTAATATTCTGCATGCCAATAACATTGATATCTCACCAAGATATATAACCAACACAGTATAACACAAATGAAGCCAAAACAAATAGAGTTCATTAATCAGCCACTTTTCTAAGTTCATCGACTTTCAGCTTAAACAAAAGTTTAATTAATGCAAAAGATAAATGTAATGCGTATTTAGTACTTACATTTTATCTAATCTGCACTAAAGCATTTTCTCTTCATAACTTCTTTAAACATAGTTTTTTTGCTTAATAAATTTAATTTACTTCATGCCTCGGAGTCTTATTGGTATATTTTCATTTAATAGATAAAAACATTGGACTTAAGTATACGATGCAAGTACTAAGTAAACAGTGAAAACTTAATAAGTGGGAAGCTGATTACAGTTTACCACTTCAATAGATCCTCATTACAGAGAGCCGTTTTCATATTCAAATATTAATTAACAGTTGAAAAGTGTTCAGAACAAGCTGAAGCGAAACAATAAACAAACCAAACAACAGTCTAGAAAACTGGCAACAATTCCAAATGTAAATTAATTAAAATCTAAACTGAGCGTGTGTGCCCGTGTGTGTGTGTGTGTGTGTGTGTGTATGTGTAAACTGCCATAAAAAGCGAATGGTGAATAAAAAAACGAATCATGGTGATGTAAATAAGGTGTTCCGGAAGGAAGCCGGCGGAAATCAAAGCAACGCCTGCATAAAGTAAACTTTGTGGCATCCTTCCCACGACTCCTCTCCGACCCCGATCGTTGCTGATTACGTAATTACATGAATGTAAATTTTTTTGTGCTGGCTTTGTTTTGTTGTCAGTGTGTGTGAATAAGTTGTGAGCACACAGTTTTGCCGAGTCACGACCAATTAAGGAAAGGCAAATAGCGCACGCATTAAATGATGAAGGAAGTCATGTTTCAAATGCGACAGGAAATGAAATGAAAGCCCATCCAGCACCAGCAGAGTATAGCACTAAACGGTTGTGTGGCAGGTGCGTATTAAAGAAAAGTATGTGCAAATATGATATTCTACCACTGTCAAGATAGCATGTCTTAATTGTTTTCGAACCCAGAAATAAATTCCAAAATAAGTCAACTGTCCGGCCCGAACTCAACTTAACTCACACTGAAAAGACGAACATGTCACACAGAGATTTATTACCAAAAGGGCCAAAACCAAAATGCAAAGGCTTCCTTCCTTTTTAATGGTCTCTCACCTTATCCTTGGGCTTGAGGTTTTTCGTATTCCCATGCTGTTGCCCTTGGTATCTCGTAGGTTCTTTAAAGCTCTGTCAGGAAATTAAACTATTAAGCTTGCTTGATGTGCATAAACTTTTAATAGCACCTGAATGGTGTTGGGGAAATTATATTATGTGTGTCTGTGTGTCTGTGTGTGTGTGTGTCTGTTTTACCTTTACTGGTCCATCATTAAGGAAAAAGCAGATCAACTTGGCCACAGAGCAATTCCTGCGATAAGTGATGCCAGTAAAAGTTTAATGGCAAATCAACATAAAATTCTGTTGATTACTTCAAGTTTTTTTAGACCAACTGCTAAGCTGTTTAAGTGCTGTCAGCAACAGGCATCGAATTTAACACCGTTTGGGCCACAACTGTTGACAGCCGCAGCTGAAATCGATGGGTCGTTCGAGTTCCGTAAATAACCAACAGAACAATTTAGCTCCGTGTGCTCCCAATGACATTTTCCCGTGTGAAATTAGCCACAGCAATGAGTTGATAATTGTGGGTTGTTTAATTTATGGTTTAAAGAATATTTTCGTAATAAGTGTTAGAATCGAATTTGTTGTCTGACTTTGAACTATGAGCTGTGTTCTTAAAACACAATATTTTACATATGATTTTTAGATTTTCGTGTGCAGTTCATTCATACATTCAATATTTTACTTAAAAATTCAAACACTCTTAAAGCAATACATTTATTTTGGTTTATAGACGACCAGCCAATCATCGTTGTGCTAAGTGTAGCATAAAACAAGATAAAATTAATAGGCGCAAACATTTATCATGGGCATTATTCAATTATATTTGTTTATGGGCTACATGTGTGGATTTATGTATTCAGAGCTAGGCTACTGCTGCTGCTGCTGCTGTAGTAAATACTTACTACACTTTTGCACAGACTATACTTAAAAATAAAAAGCCAAAAAACAATTGAGTATTCGCCATTGCATTAAATTCAATTCATTCGTGGCGTCTACTCCCAAAAATAACGTCTGCCAGCGGGACGCATAATCGTTATCTGGTCAATGATAAAATTTAACGGCTTTGTATAAATTGAATGCTGACGACTATCAAGATTGAAGTCGAGCCAATCAAAAGTGACGCGCAAACAGCACTAACCGAAAATAAATACAAGCTGCCAACAGCAAATGAAAAAAATAAACCAAAGATAAACACACACAAAAGCAACTAAAAACAACAAACACACAAAAATGCTGAAATTGTTGAAAATGTTGAAAATGCTAAAATGTTAAAGTCCACAGACAGCAACAACTTGTTGGGCCTTTCAATACGCTTTCTGATTGTTGTAATAAATCATCGTGGCAATTGACTTTGAGCAATTGTGCGAATATTGTTGGCAGTTTCGTGTTGAGATCTCCGGCGATCTTCAACTTTGAAGCTATTTTGACTAATCTATGTCCTCTCATTTAATTGGCCATAAATATTATTTATTTACTTTGTAATTGTAATTAATGGTTTTATCACTTAATTGGCTGCCATGTAAATTGCTCATGAATATTGCAAATCCATAAATAATATTTACTATTTATGATTATAAACAGTGCTCAGCTAATTGAAGTCGCCTGTCGCTTGTCGCTTGTCGCTTGTTGTTTGTCGTGACTTCCGATGAGGAATTCCCATGACAATTTGACCACTCGACGCACAAATAAAAAATAATATTTTGGCTTGTCCACTTCTCGGCCAGTCGCTATATGCACATATCACTATAGAGTATATATATATATATATATATATATCAATATATGTTTATTTAAATTTATATTTCATTGCTCAATTACCATTGTTGCTTTTGTGTTTAGTTTAGTATGCGTAAGTTGGCCATCGCAACGGCCATCAAACATTTTGTTTTAATTTGTAGCCAGTGCAAATATGCAAAATGATTGACAGCACAATTTAGATACCTGAACACACAGGTAATGCAATATTTACACTAGATCGGGCAGACGAAGTACGATGAAGAGAGAGAGAGAGGCCACGTGTCAGCTATAACCTTATATGGCTGCAAATTTCTATAGCTGTGCAGATCATGTATCCCAACCGACTACTGGCTTATGTATATTAAAGCAATTTTGAATGCTCCACTCGAGATAGCTCGACTAGCAGACACCCTGGTAATAGTTTGTTTAATTTGAAATTACTTTATGTCTTGTCTTTCCTCCATTCTTTATGAACTTTCTACACGTGACCAATAAGATGTCTGAGTATTAATAATAATTGGAATGCTACAGTTTTGTCCTTTATTTAAATAGTTAAACGATTTGTGTCGATATTCGCGAAGCGGGGACAGTTATCGATATTATGATATAAGTGTGGATTATATGAGAACTCGGCTGTTGATGCTGATCAAGAATATATATATGTTATGGGTTCGTGCCTATTAAATACTTTGCTCAACTACTAAATATACATACTATATATATATATATATAGTATAGTATATATTTACATATATTAGGATGCAACAAGAAGAAAACATTTAGCATATGCAGTGGAGTGTATAAGCACAATAAAATACCTAAAGCTGTTTTTACATTACTAACAATGTCAACTGATATTTATTGTAATTCTCAAGTGTCGTTCGCTTTTTGCTCAAAGGATTTCATAGAATAAATAACAAAAGTTGCCAAAAAAGCAATTTGCATTATTACGAGAAATATCAATTTCGTGCATATCTTTTTCTGCTGAGAATTTGTAATCTATATTGAAACTTTTATTCATGTTGCATGAACGAAATAAATTGAATAGTTGCTGTGATTAATGGCCATCAAGAAGTTCAGTATTAGTCAGTTACAGCTTTTATCAATTTGTCATACGTTAAATCACAACTAAGTCATTCATTTAAAGTGTGTCATAACAAATGATTACACTATTTTCCTAATTGTGTTTTGATTGTTCCTAAACCTCTATAATATATACCAACAAACTTACGCTTAGTCATACATCAATTCAGCTTGCTTAATTTATTAGTTTAATTTGCTGTATACTTGTTAGTTTCAATACTAAAAATGAAAGGGCTGAATCTAGGCTATATGTTTTTCTGCCTGCTTGTTTTGCTGCCTTCCTTTGGTTCTGTTTGGCTGATTGCCAGCAAACAATATGAAAACAAATAAACAAGAAAAATAGCGTGAATGACAACACAGAAAAAACACGTGCCGCTTTGAGTTCTTTTTTGAGTTATACATGACGTATGAGTAATGTTACTGACTTACCAAAAACGCTAGTGGGAATATTAAAAATGTATTCCAATTTCTTTATTCAAATAAAATTTAAATATTAATTCAAAAATATAACTGAGATAAATTTTGAACACTGGAATGTTATATTAAAAAATGCACTTGAAAAAAGTGATTTGAATTACGATTGGTATAAATCTTAAAAATAGTTAAATTAAAAAAAAAAAAATAATAAATCGGAAATCAATGAGAATATTAAAGAACAGAATTCCATTTGTGGAAAGTGCAGTTTTAACCTTCATAATTCGCCAGGATATTTGTAAAAGTCGACACAGCACCAGCAGTTGCAGCACCACAAATGCGTACAAGTGGCAGTTGGTAGTAAATCAAGCCGTCACTTCTTGAGAGTATTCTGGTAGTACGTGCATTTTGCCAAGCATTTTCAGCCATAAATCTGTACAGAGCATGCACCACTGACAAATATGCTAAGATCTGGGCAAGCTACTGCGTTTGGCAGCTGTTAGACATTCATTTGTACATTGAACTCCAATTGACTCCAATTTGATTTGTGGCTATGAATAACGTAAGAAAAACTTGTTAGTAATTATGCAAAATCAAATGCATCAACTGCGCAAGTCAAATTATACTTGTCAGCCTTTAACAGTCAATTTAAAATTGTCAAAACCAGCTCCCCACGCCCCGCTAAACTGGTGTGGCTGAGTGCATTTGGCCATATGTATATACATATATATATATATATACGTGCATATATACATATACTTTCCGCCAATAACAAAATCAAGAAAATAAATGCAATTAAAAGCTTTGATTGAACCGTTTAATTGAAATATTTCTGTGTTTTGGTTTGACACCAATTATAAACAATTTGCCAAAATGATGATAATCGAAAAAGAGTATTCGCTTTGAATTTGTTTTTCTTACTCAATTGCATAAATTCCGAATATATATATGACCTGCATATGTCATAGAAATGGCAGTTTTTAGAAATATTTCAAATGTTAAATAAGCATAAACAAGAAAAAGGATGACACTTAGAAATTAAGTACTTTATGCCCGGGTCAAATGAATATTTGATATATTTAAAGTAAATAAATTGGAAATTGTTAAGCATTTTCCTGCGACAATATGCCTCTCATTGCTCCTTTATTGGTGCAGGGTATAAGAAGGATAACATATTTTTATGCTCCTCTCAGGCATCAGTTCAATGCACGTTGCACTCTTGAATAATTTGGTATCTGTGTGAAAATAAATGTTTTATATCATTGACAGTTGTTTGTGTTGTATTATATTTGTACTATGTTTTGTGTTTATTGTCATTTATTCTACACTTTTTTTGGCTGTTACTCGACAACGTGCCTGGAATATTTATTGTGCAAAAAGTTATCAAACGGACTGCAGTTTTGGCTGACAGTTGCGATTGGATCTGACTTGGGGTCAAAGTGGGCCCGTATACAAATAACCTCCAGTCAGATTAATAGCTGCGCATATTTCACTAAATATACACATCTACCCACATATATATATATATATATGTGTGTGTATAAATATATATCTTTCGCTTGGCATCGCTATTAAAGCATACGAATTATTAGGAAAATTCGTGCAAGGCAACCACCAACAATGGCAGCAACAATAGCAACAACAACAGCATGGAAGTACTGAATAAAAAACGAAAATTTATCGATGCTCACTTCCGCAAACAACCGCAAAGCAACAACACCAACCACAGGAAGTAATGGGCTTAAGTCATAGACAAGAACAACATTAAAAAAATGTGAAATTTACACTCGGCACCGAAGCGAAAATACCCTATAGGCCAACTCAGAGATGAGTTAAATGCTTAAACGAAGGATATGTTAGTATATATGTATATATATTTAGAATAGTAGAGATGGTAGAAACAAGCGTACTCAAACCCATCATGCCCAGTGTGTTTGGTTAACTCAAATCGTTGCTTAACTTATAACATAGTCAACATAGCAACCAGCAAGAACAACTTAAAGAGCAAACATTTATAAAACACTTTTGGCCATTTCTCTTCATTAACTGCATGCCTGATGGCCAGAAAGAGAGCAGGCCAAACAGCAAGGCAAAGTGTTTGCCAGTTCGCCGCCATATCACACTTTCCCACCATATACTCCCTCAGGCTCCTCACCAACCACTCCTGGATCTACTGCACCTTCCCCCTTCTTACTGTCTTACTGTGTGACTGTCTTACTGGCTGGCATCTTGTCGCTTTTCGGGGCGGTGCTTAATGAAGTTTTCACACAAATTTCTCGGCAATTTTACTTTCGGACATTGCATAATTGATGAGGCCTGGCGAAACGGCGACAGTTTTGACAAATCACAAACGCCTGAACAAGTTCCAATTAAGTCTTATAGCCATTGGGGGTGTCTGTCTGTCTGTTTTCGTTGCTCTTGTTGTTGTTGTTATATTGTCATATTTACTATGTCGCCGGCCGGAGACGTGTCTCTTATTAATAATTCGCAATAATTTGTTGGGGCAAGCAAAGTGTTAATGTTGATGAGTTAAGGTTTAACGTTACGTCCGCCAAATGAGCAGCAATTTATTTGTGTAATTGAAGCCGCCTGCCATTGCCAAGGCTGTTCCTTTGCGATGCTGAGTTGTCGTGGCAGTGATCGTGGGCGTGGTCGTCGTCGTGGTCGTGGTCGCGGGCGTGTTGGCAACATCTTGTAAGTTTGTGTAGCAAAGCTGGCAAAACATGACCATAAAATGTTTACAGCGCGCACTTAAAGCCGCTGTAATTCAAGCCAACCGCAAAAACTCAGATGCAGCGCACCGTTAATAATTAATTACATAATTAACCACAAATTAAGGCACACACGACTGCCCCCCAACTGCCGCAAACAGCACAATGTCAACACAGTTGCACAGTTGCACAGCTGGCCAGCAGTTCCTGTTGTCACCAGCAGCGCAATCAACAATTAATCTGCTTAGTCTCAGCTATAGCTATAAGTATATATATATATACACAGAACTTGTCATATCGGCAGCGTATCCAATTGATTAACAACAGCAATATATACATATATGTATATATATATCTATATTTAGCAGAGTCAAATAAAAAAAATGTATTTATATTTAACAGAAAGTACTGTCAACAAATCAACAAATGTATTGTGTTTCAAACAAATATTATTTTTCCTGCTTTCCACTGCTGTTATTATTGTCACGGGCTGCTGTTTGCTATATGGCATTTTACCCCATTCCCTCTTGGCCGCTTGCCACTCAGCCATGCAGCAAGTTTTGCAATTTGCATTTTTTTGTTGTGTGAAACCCTTACACATTCTAAGCACATGCCTTGCGGATATTAAGTATACGCATAGATAGAGCGCAAAATATGCTTTTCAAACTTTTCCCCTTATAATGTCTATTCTATTCTATTCTATTTCTAGGTGAATACTCATTTAAAAACGCTTAGAATATACTTTCCATCGCCTAGCTGCAATACACTCGATTAAAATATGATGTTTGCAGTCTACTAATGGTTGTTCAGCTGAACAAATTTCAACACCATTTTTTTTTTATAACTATTAGTTAATTAGTTGAGGGCTTCTATTTAAGCCAATGCACATGCAAAATAAGTGCTTGGTAATGCCACAACAAAGGCGCTAGCTTACATGGCTCACATGACATATGACATGCGAGGCACTCTGACGCTTCCAAAAATATAAATGCGTTTCTTTGGCTCTTTGTCCTCGAGCGCTTTGCGGCCTTTTTGCAACAATCAAACAAAGGCCAGCCTTTGCTGCCAGCTGGCGGTTAAAAAGCATACCTTGACAACTCATTAAAGCCCACATGCACCTGCCCTACGACCCACGTAATTATATAAAACAGCATAACCAGAGATATAGAGCAAAAAAAAAAACAGGACGGAGGCCATGACACGGCAAGTGGATGCTGAGTTGGTCTTTAAGTTGCAGTGACATCGTCAGGTGCATATTTATATATGTGTATATGTATGTAGTGCAAGTGCATGGTTGTAGCTGAATCTGAATAGGAATGTGGATGCCTCTCAAATTAAGCTCGGAGAGTGCTGACGAAACAGACACATTATGTATGCATATGAGGTGGATGCCAGCGACCCCGACATCTACTACTTGATGGTGTCAGTGGTTGAGTGGCTGTTTCAATTGGTAAGCGGACAGTTAATTGTCGTTCGATATGGGCGATTTCAACTAACCAAAAATCGCAATTAATTGTAAGGATGCGGTTTACAAAAATAACTGGGGATGGGAAGCACTGTCACACCGAAGCTTTTATACACTTGCCAACCTCTTCAATTGATTGCCACTAAAATGCGGAAACTAATAAGTTTGTATAATAATTCTTCAACATTTCTCCAAGCCTTAAAAGTGATGTGAATCGTTTTCAAAATTAAATTGTTATAATATATTTCACTATATTATTATGTATTTGGCATTATTATTTCACTTGATATTAATAGTAATAAGAATTATAATAAAAATAAGTATTTGAAAAGTAGAATATGAATTTTTGTTATACCTTTCAATGCATTTTAAAGTTGTTACAAGCGATTTGGCTTCCAGCTCGTTCTCTCATTGTTTACAAGGATTGAGAAAAAATGCAACTCATTTATTTTCATTTTTGGCAGCACAACAATTTTTCATTTCGCCCAACACAAAATTGCAAATGGCGGTTGGCTTGAATGTGTGCTTGTTGCCATTGTTGTGCCATGTAGCAATGGTTGTGCCCTGCCACACACCCATCACCCCCGGCACCCGAACGCCGTCTTTGTTGCGGTTGATTGGCCAAATCACTTGCATGCAGAATGCGCTTTTTGGCTGCAGTCCTGAGGGTGTTGATGCCACCCACACATCCACACATTTGAGCGTTTGTTGCAAGAGTTTACGCGCATATACATTTCATGATCATAAAAATTGGCAACAATATTTTTGCAAGTGTTGCGACAAAATTTCGTAGCAAACTTTAAGCATAAATTCAAATTATAAAAGCGCTGAGTAGAAAAAAGTTGCAAGGCTGCATGCAGCAGTAACTCGTGATGCATTTATAATTAACACTTTATGCGGCACGTCGCAACAGCGAGGTGTGAGCTCATTACTAACAAATGCAATGGGTAATGCAGCCCACAAAATTCCATACCCTCAACGCAGACAATAAACAAGCTTGCGTCGCGTGTGTGTTGCACATGCCAGTTGCATGCTGACGACCGTCTGCGACAGACAACTGGTGACAGTCGCAGCAAGCGGTACACAAAAGCTGCAGCAATGATGTTGCTGTCTACTGAATGTAGCAGTCAAACAGTTCTAATTAAAATTTAATAAATGCTGAAAGAGCTGTCAACGCTTTTATTGTAATTTTAAGTCTATGGCTTGTCTACCTTCCGAGCTGGATGGCTCTATCCCTGAACTAGTTGAAATTATGTATAAATAGTAATTAATTTAAATAGTAAAAATAAATTTTAACATTTAGAATATAGTTTATATATATAGATCATGATCATGATAATAAGTTTTTATTAACAAAATCAGTGCATCTTATCCGATCTTATCAAAATTCGTACAGCTCTTCAATAATATGGTTGGTTACATTATATATTTGCAAAAGGCAGTTATCGATAAATGGAAATCAACTTTATCTGTATACGAGAACTATAAATTTCAAACTTCTCTAGCTATTAAAGTCTCTGAGATAGACATGTTCACATAGACGGACAGTCAAACATGGGTGAACAGATTAGGCTTTTGCCGCAGATCAAGAATCTATATACCTTATGGGGTGTATGCTTCCTTCTGCTTGTTAGATACATATGCACAACTTCATTATATCACGCAAATCCTAAATCTACTTCTACAAATAATTAAATATATTTTAATAAGACAAAAATGTAGTCTTTGGCATACTTTCTATTTGGAGCAGTTTAAATAAGGTTTGGCAAAGAGTATAAGTTAGTTTAATTTAGCTAAGTTGACTATTAAACTTGAATTTTGATTTATATAAATATATATATGTATATATTTAAAATAAAGTAAATAAATATACTCATTTCATTATAAAACTTTACTTTAACAATAATCCTAATCTTGAAGTTCTATTGAAATAACTATTAAAAACAACTCCTCGGCTAATGATGGGATCTGTTCTGCTCAGCTTACTGAAGTGACTTACGTATATATTTTTATCTTTGCAGCGCTCCAGACAATTGGTGAGAACAATAGTTGACAGTAACAATAAGTGAGTTAAGAATATAAATAACAAACATAACAACAACAACAACAACGGCTGTACTATAACAAGTTGTTGTTGTTATCAAGCGAGCCACACAGCTTTAGAATGAAATGGAGATGCAAAGTGAGGCTGGTCATGGACCAACAACAGAAGCAGCAACTGCAACAACAGAAGCAACATCACACAGCACATATAGGCGGCTCGACTTCAATTGTCGGGTTGCACAAGTGGCACAACACGAACTCTGGCAGCCTTTCATTAGCTGCGAGGCGGCACAGAGACATGGAAGCAACAACAACGACAGCAACAAAATTAGCAGCAGCAACAGCAACAGCACAACAACATTCCAATGCACTTTGCAGGCATTCGATAGACGCGAGGAGAGAGCATTTTATGCGTGCAATTCAACAGTTGAGCAGGAGCAGGAGCAGGAGCAGGTTGCATCGGCGACCTATGCGCCCTGTGCCTTAGACACGCAATTATTGGGGTCGCCAGACGAGGCATTTACGCAATTCGAGCTGGCAATGAATGGGGGGCTTAGTGATAATGTGAGTGATACGCATAGTTTTAGTGACAGCTGCAATCGACAAAGGCTCCTATGCGAGCCCCAGGACGTGGAGGAATACCACCAAAAGCTAACATGCCAGCTGCAACAACTGCAGCAGCAGCAGCAGGAGCAGGCAACGACAGCCTGGCTCGACTATAACATCGAGCTGGGCACAGATGACCTGTGGTCGTGGCTAAACTTAAGCGAACTGGTAGACAGTGTCGCTGCCAGTGGCAATGGCAGCTTCAGCAACATAACCACCACCACCACCCACAGCCTGGACATGATAATGTCCAACTACACACTGTCCAACACAGCGCTGACCACGACGACGACGGTGACATCAGATCTGGGCAGTGACATTGTTATATCGCGTAGTTTTCTCGACTATACGCCGCATGGCTACGACTGGCTGTTTCTGTTCGTGGTCTTCTTCATATTCGCCGGGGGACTGGGCAATATACTCGTCTGCTTGGCTGTCGCCCTGGATCGCAAGCTGCAGAATGTGACCAACTATTTTCTGTTCTCGCTGGCCATTGCCGATCTGCTTGTCAGCCTGTTTGTCATGCCAATGGGCGCGATTCCAGCGTTTCTGGGTAAGTTTTTCAATTCAGTGCATAGATTATTATTTCAATCAAGTCCGGCCCCTTCACAAATACATATGTAGATAGTTATCCAGACATGAGTAAATACCTCGTAACATTTTTAATAGCTCCTCAAATAAATTTACGACCCATATATATTCTAAAAGTGTTTTTCATTATTTTTATGGCATTTTCTTCTTCTTTTTTTTTTGTTTTAATTTTGAGTGATTGGAATTTTTGTATAAAAATGCATTTAATTTTTGTTTTGAAACTTTTCATTCTTCGCTTAAGCGCTGTGAATCAGCAAAACTTTGAAAATGATTTAGAATCTATTTATATAAAACACACATTGATTGGTATTCGCTTTATGACCAGAATATATTTAGAGAGCAAAGAAGAGAGACCAGAGATAAATTCATGAGAAATAAACAAAATGTAAATATTGTTATATAAATTCTAAGTTTTAAACTACATATGACAACTGACTTTTATTTTCGAAATTCGATAAGAAGCCGACACATTGTCAGTTAAGTATGCAAATCATATTGGTATGAACACGCTCGAGTTTGTGCCTGCCTAATTTGCATTCGCCACTGATAAGGTCTGTCTGCTGTGCAGCTGAGCCCAATGTAGCATGAACAGATCAAACACATAATGGGCGCACATGTTGCCAAAAGCTCTACACAAAAAGGCCGCATCTCCACCGGAGGCCCATCACAGCATTTTGAATATTTAGGGGTCGAGGCGGCCAACCACATTTACAAATTTAGTGTTTTTCATTTAATTATGAGCACATTAGTTGCTCACTCAGCGGATGGCATTTTATTTGGCAGACAGTCTACCAGTTGTTAGGCAAAGCAGAGCTGCATAAATTAGCACAAAACTAAACACATTTCAAATGCAGTCTACACATTTGAGGCCATCGAATCTTTAAGGTAAGTGAATCGCTTGTTTAAAAGCAAACATTTTCTTAACGAAGCCTTAAATTGACCAAGACCAAGAGTAGAATGCACATGTACAGGCTTGCAAGCAAAAATTGCTTAGTTGCTGCCCTTAATGGACTTTATCTACGTTTCTGTGGCTTTCAGCACTCACTTTGCCGAGTCCTTGAGACAAACAAGTTAATCCTTGGCAGATTTTCCGTACTTTTAGTAATTTGGCTTGACTTGCATGTATGCTGCTTTAATTTCTGGCATCTTTTGGCAACGTGCTGTTTGGCTTGCACTTTTTACGAGGCACTCCGCGATTTATGCAACAATTTTCTGTAGAATGCTGCACCAGCGAATTTCTCACTGTGGCAATTTTCACTTGAGCTGCTTCCTCTGCTGCTTGGTTTTCACGCTTGTAGACGGCAACAGCAAAAGTAAATGCAGCTAAAAGGTAAAACATTGTTTTCAGCCGGAATAACTACGATAAATACAAGAGAAAACTTGGCCAGCAACTATGTTAATGGTACCAACAAATGTTTCTAGTCAAAAATTACTTCCTTGTTCACTTTCATGTTGACTTCTGAACAAAGCTTCCTTGGTAGTGAAATCTGCGGATTTTGTGACACATCAAAACAGATTGTGTCGCCTTTGTCAGGAAAAGCTGTGATAGCCTAGGGAAACACTTGTTAAACTCGGAAGACTCAGCAACCCTTGAAGCGAGCCCAATTTATCTAACAGGTCGCAGTGCAAGAAGTTACCCAATAATTATAATAAAATTGCTGACTTCGACATAAAATGCATGCCATTGAAATAATAAATTCAATTTAATTGAGTTAAATTAACAAATTACTGTCCCACACTTACGATTAGTACAAAAATGCTTACCACTTTGTAAAATAGAAACTAAAATGAAATTGTTCTTAAACGTGTTAATTATTATAGTCAGCATTAAACTTGCACTACCAAGAATTTCAATTGCAAAAGATATGCCAGCAGGTATCTCGTTAAGTATACTTTTTGCTTATCTCAAAAAATAGTGGCTTATTTTACTAGTCTTATAAGAAAGTATTTTGCCTAGGAGGAAACAGTTTGAAGAACGTAAATTTATTTAGAAAAGTTTAGTGTGCATTGCAAAATCAAAATTTTATTTGTTTTACTTTTTGTAGTATTATATATTATATATTATTATGGTCAATGTACTTTCTTATGCGATTTCCTTAACATGCTGGGCATATATATAAGAGTCTGACTAATTTAAGAAAATTATCACTTACATGGTATACAAATGGCACACATATTTAAAAATATGCCTTTTGCTCACCGACATTTTTAAGGCACTTGAGACCGAATTCCGGCCAACATGTCGCATACGTAATAAATACATATTCAGCACTAGATGTATTTTATGTGTGTGTGTCTGTGTGTGTATCTGTGTGTGTGTCTGTGTGGGTGTCTGTGTGTGTGTCTGTGTGTGTGTCTGTGTGGGTGTCTGTGTGTGTATGTAAGTGACAAGCGTATAAAGCTTAATAAAATATGAGTGTACATCCGGATGTGTTCGCCCTTGCTAAAGTGGCTGTTGAGTGGACGCTTCTCTGTTTGTCTCCTTAATTGTGTGTGTGAGTGTGTGGAGCCCAAAAGTATGTGGGTACAGAGCAGTAACAACAAACAGCACATTTAAGCGCATTCCGTACTAATTAAGCCTGAATTTGCCCAGAGGCATTGATGCTAAATACCAACTGAAAGCTGAATACCCGCCATCAGGTGGCAGTAATTTTTATTTCGCGTTACGCATTTTGTTTGTCCCCAAAAATTATAATCGTTGATTGGATTTTGTTTTGTTTTACATATTTTGTGATGCAAGAGAGTTTACGCTTGGGGATATTTATAGTTTAGCTTTAGATGCCCGTGTCAACATCAAATTTACAGCCATTGACATATACAGCTTGTAAACTGTTGTTGATGCTGTTGTTGTTCTTTGGAATTTCTGGCACGTGGATGAACGTGGCTTAAATGTACACCATTTCTTAGAACTTTGAAAGTCAAAGGACGCCAAGCAGCTTCACTAGCATCTTTGTTGTGTCGAACGCGGATTTGAACTGTCATAGTTAAGTGAATAGTATGACAGTACTTTCACAGAGTTGGGGAGAGATTGACTTGAAAGATTGTTGGGCAAAGTAACTTCCTGAGCGATAGTCACATCAAAACGTAACAAAAAAGTAGAATATAATAATGTCCTTTACTTACTTCTAAGTCTGTTTCCCAGACGGCGAGTGACACACTTTTTTAAGTGCCTCGCATTCCCAAAAAGCTGGTCATAAGTAAGCTCTTTTCTTGCTATGAAAGATATGAGAAAAAAATATGCTCAATAAAGTGCAGTCAGCTTCTGAGTTCAGTTTCTCCCTTTGTTCAGCTGGTGGCTCCTTATAAGCTTTCAGCCAAGAAAATGCTTTGGATGTTTTGCTTCGTTCTCATATGTTGACTTTCACTCGTATCTAAAATATCACATGTCTTGCATCACATCCAGTGAATGTAAAAAGTCGATGCGGTTTCCCATTTTCTACCTAAATCTAATGCTATCATTTAAATCGAGCTTCTTAAATATGAAGAAAAACTAACTACAAATGTTCCGAGATGCAAGTCGTTAATTCTATAGAATTACATAAGTGGGAATTCGTATAGGAGATAAGCAAGCTGTCAAAGCTAGTCCCGATACTATTGAGAGCAGGTAATCGAGTCAGTAAAGTATCGATATCTGATCGGCATCGAGACATTCGGTTGCAGCCAGCAGTGGCAGAAAGATACCTGTACATGCAGCGCAATTGAGCACCAGTTCAACCTCATTATCAGTAAGCACAAACATAGCAATGCCATCTATTATAATATAATATATAAAATATAGTTTCAAAATATGAATTCAAATATCCATCCATATTGCTACAGTTAATTCCAATTGAACTCTGTCGGAACCAAACTTGATTAGGTTGGGTTAGGTTTGACGGATGCCGACCAAGGTCGACACATTTAGGCCATTTTTGGCCCGTTGTGATACGGTGTGGATCTCACTTCATTTCTTTGGCAGCCATTGCACAATTCTGGTTTGTCCCATATTCTCTAACTGGGTTAGACTTGGTAGCAAGTGACTTTCTAGTAAGGCGCATCTTTTCCTCGCCAGATCAGAGCAGATACAGAGGAAGTGTTCCAGACATTTTACCCCCTCTTCGTCTCTGCAGCTTCTGCAGAAATCATTGTAATCTGATTGTAACCTATTGTGCGACTTAGACTACACATCTCCTTACTGCGCTTACTATTTAAACTGGGCCAGGCTTGGCCTGCTATTCGACAACAGTTGACACTTAGCCATTTGACTTGGGTCTATTCTCTTCTCTGAGTTTCAGCTTACAGTTTGCCAGAGACATGCATGTACCTTCCTTATCCGAGAGGAGGGCAAATAGTATGCCTTTTCTAGCTAGCTTATCAGCTTTGCAGTTGCCTTCTATATTCTGATGCCAAAGCACCCAGATTAGGCTATAACATGCTGATTTGCCCTAGAGATTTTCGACAACTTGTTACGGATAGTTTGACGGCATCGCGCTGATAGATTCGATCGCTGCCTGGCTATCAGTGTATATATTTATATTACATGAACTAATTTTAACCTCTTTAGGCAATTAAGTATTCCTTTTATGGCTAGACTGAATGACAGCTGAATGTTAAGCTGTGCGGGATAAACGCCTCCGCAAAAGCGATATTTCAGCCTTGAGCCGTCTGTGTAGAATGCTAAGGTTGCCGGTGGAAACAGAACTTGGTTAACAGTACTCAATTTTATTTTCATTTAAAGGTACTTTGACTTTCGCTTTTCTCCTTACTTTGGGATTAATTAATTATTTTTTGATTTTCTTTTCATTACTGCCCCTTCTTACGTCTACTGTTTTACTTCTCATTGCGATTAAAATTACTTTTGATTCTCATGCACCTTCATCTGCACACATATTTTCCCCGTTCTGACCGTTTGCACTTTTACTTCATTAGGCTATTGGCCACTTGGGTTCACGTGGTGCAACGTCTATGTGACCTGCGATGTGCTCGCCTGCTCCTCGAGCATTTTGCACATGTGCTTCATCAGCCTGGGCCGCTATCTGGGCATACGGAATCCGCTGGGCTCGCGACACCGTTCCACGAAGCGTCTGGCCGGCATAAAGATAGCGATTGTTTGGGCCATGGCTATGCTGGTTTCGAGTTCAATAACAGTTCTGGGTAAGCTCAAAGTCAGCAGTTCCCAGACTTATTGGTTATCACATTTTCTTCTTTGTTTTCTTTTTATGCTTCAGGTCTGGTCAATGAGAAGAACATTATGCCGCAGCCGAATGTGTGTGTGATAAACAATCGAGCGTTCTTTGTATTTGGCTCTCTGGTGGCATTCTACATACCAATGCTGATGATGGTGACCACATATGCCCTCACCATACCCCTGTTGCGCAAGAAGGCCCGCTTCGCAGCCGAGCATCCAGAGAGTGAACTCTTCCGCCGGTAATTGAATTGAACAATTTCACATTTGCATTCGCACTCGCCATCCAGTTAGACACACACACACACAATGTAATTAGTTGCAACATGGTGCTCCCAGATTTGTGCCACCTTTGATCAGACACCAATTGGATAAAGGCAATAGTCAATGGCCAGCAGCAGCTGCAATTGAATTTGTCTAAAAATCAATACCAATAAATTATGCGCAAATGAAAATGTCATCAAACGAAGCTTGCAGCCAAACAACTGTGCCAACTAGTTCCCAAATGCGGGCCAACAATGCACTTGGAGAAAAATATGTACTACAATATGGAAAATAACCTAGCTTTATAGCCAAAGGCAGCACGCTTGATTGATTGATTGTTAATTGCAGTTGTACTTTTGTTTCAATTCAAAATCCAATTTAAAATTTTCAGCATTTTATGTTTCCCTACATTTTACAAAGAAAGTTATTAAAAAAGGGATTGGCCTTTCTAAGATAAGTAAAAATAAATACGATATTTATATTTTTAACGTTTTTATTTTCAAAAAATAAATTACGTAAATTTAAGAATTATTCCTCACAAAGCAAAACCATTTCGACCCATTTTTTGTGAGTGTGGAAGCCCGCAGGGCGTATGCGTAATTAAATCTTGCACTTTGTGTTACGGCTCTGTGCATTGGAGTTGGTTTTTGGCACAGCAGAAATCCAAAGAGATGCTGATTGCCACTGCCAGGCAAAATGCGATTTATTTCGAATATCCATTTGCGCGAGTACAAAAGGGCATTAAACATGGTTGGGTGTGGCAAGTTTGTAGAAATGCATTGAAAATTAAAGTGATTAACAAACAAGAGTGCAGTTTTCTGCTTGCAAGAGTTCAATAAAATTATTATGTACAGCAAACTGATTTACGAACTCAATGCGAAATCGTGTCCTGCAAATAAGCTGTAACTCAATAAGTAACTCCATTTGAAGTAAGCCAAGCACATCGATCTTTCATCAGTTCTCCGTCTATTTGCTTCTATTCCAATGTCTAGGTTGGGCGGACGGTTCACAATACGGCCACAGCACAGCCAGCAACAGTTGCAGATGCACAGCAGCTTCATTAGCAATAATTACAGCAATAACAAAGGCCAGACAATGGGTGACAGCAATCGCAATTTCAGCAATACAACAACTAGGACGAGATTGTCGAGCGCCAGTTCGGCTAATGACCACTCGGAGCGACCATTGATGCAGCAGCGGACGACGAGCAATCGGAGCATTGCCAGCGTCAGTTTTCGCAATGTGGGCAATGGAGGGGGCTCAAGTGGCGGCAGCGGAAATGCGACCAATATTGGACGAAGTAACTTCCGATTTGCTGGCGGTGGCATCTTGCGACAATCTTCGACGCCGACAACCACCTCAACCACATCATCCTCATTCGCGGCACGCGGCAAACCCCGGACGAGCAGCTTCTGGCGCAAGCACGGCGGCAATCCCAATCTGATGGACAGGTAAGTTAGTTGATGGTCCATCCACTTGAAAACGTTAATTAACCGCAATTTTTGCGATGCACTCGCCATCCAATCTGCATGCAAATGACGCAAACCGCCGCAAATTGTATCCGGTGCCATTAAATTTCCCGATGTTAAAAGCGAATTAATTTAAACGAACAAATCATTCAAATCTCTTCCAAACTTCGACATAATCAAAATCTATAAATTAATATTATTCCATATACTTTAAAGCTTAAAGTTTAAAATTCTTTTGACAGAAATTGTTGTCAATTGCAATAGTTTGAACAATGCGATATATTAAAAATTTTCAAGAGCAGATCCGTTGCTTAAATCATATTTGATTAAATTATATTTGGATTTCTTAATTAGCAAAAATCTGGTATTATTGAGCAGAAATTACTTTTACATAATATGTTCAGCTTTTGTATTTAATGAATATATTTGAGATTCTTAATACTATATGAAATATAAAATATTTATCTGAAATTATTTTTAAATTGATTTGCTCAGCTTTTTATTTAATTGATTTATTTGAGATTCTTTAAGCAAAATGATCTATAAAATATTTATCTGAAATCACTCTATATTAAAATTATTAGCTTTTATTTAATTGATTTATTTAAGTTACTTGATATTTAAAATAATATGCTCAGCTTTTTTATTTGAGATTCTTGATACTATTTGAAATACAAAATATCTGAAATCACTTTTATATTAATATGATATGATATATTTACATATCAAACGACTCCCATGAAAGAGTATACTCTTGTCAGCCACTTCTACATTAACAAAAGTAACTCTGGACTCACCGAGGTGCACACAGAAACCCGCAGAGCAGTCTTCAGCGTTGCAAGCAGTCCATGAAATTGTAGTCACAATGTTTTTGGGTAATCTCATTAACAATGATGGCAATCAGTTGGCTTATTCGGGTAATGACAAATCACAACCACAAAATGGTCGTAACACCATGCAACAGTATCCTGCCCGATGACATTTGTGTTGACCTCACACCTTTGGTTACGTGTTGCCAATTTGGGAGTGTTAGTCATGGTGTTTTGGCATGAGACGAGATGAGATGAGTCGAGACCTACAGACATTTATTATCAGTTGAGCATACAAGCTCTTAAATTTATTACATTTGTCTTACATGGCCCCCCACAAAGGCAGCAAATAACTTTTCCGACTACTTCCCTAAGAAATTTGCATAATTTAGATTGTAAGTGCAAAGCGTTTTGGCATCGTTTTTGCCCCAGGTTGAAAGTTGACTTCAGAGGCAAAACAACAAAACAACAAAAACAAATTGAGTTTTATTTGGACTTTGCCATCCTGTCGACTACTTTCTTCTGACAAGTTACCTTTTTTTATTTATTTCTCCCTCTGTTTTTTGTCTGTGTTTTTGTAACAAGTTTGGGTCCAAGTGCTTGCCAAAGGATTTTTATTTGTTTGTGTTTGGTTTGCAAGAAGTAAACGTAGACTTAGCCTGTCTAAAAAGAGACCTCGATTATTGTGCAAAGTAGCATCTAACGATTGGCTTCTATTCGAATTCGTTGAATGAATTTAAAATACAGTTCAGGTTACATAAAGAAAATTTATGTTTCTCTCAGTTGAACAGTTTATGCAATTGCCTATATCATTAAAATTTGTAAATTAATCTCAATTTGTATGCGAAGAGTATGGGATAGATGTAGTCATAATCAGGTGTAAGGTAATTAATATCACTTTTACGGCTATATTGATTTATTTTGTAATTGAAGTTACTATTCGATATACGCCTCTTGTCGTCAAAGATAACCCTCCTTATCTTTCATATAGTATATTTCTTTTCTTTAATTACATGGTAATTTTTTTATAAATTTAGTAAAGTCTAGAAAGTTTGTGTTCCAGGGATGTATGTGGATCTTATTAAAAAACGAATTGCTTAAAATTATGATTTTACGGTGATTCGACACTTTTCTAGTTTTCAGGACGATAATCATTTTAGGGCGTTTTTGAATCTTTTTTGTAAGTGTACATACGGTCGATATGGGCAAACATTGAGGGGAATAATGAAGCCACAGCAACAGACTGCTAAAACATTACTCCAAAGTTGCAAACAACTTTTGAAAGGCAATTATGCAAGTTATGTGTTAAGTTACTGCACATGTGGTAAACGGTAATCAACCATGACTCGTTGCCCCACCGCCTAAGAAAACAATCAATTACGTATCCTTGTGCAATTAAATGCACATTCAAGTGTCACACGACATAGAATATAAATAATTTTAGGGCAAGCACTTGCAACGCGCCGTAAACATAAATCACTCATGCATCATGTGGTGCAGCGCCAACAACAGAAAACACAAATCTGTTATTTGGGGTGCCGGCTATTTGAGACATTGTTGTGTTTAAAATACAGCTACTGCTGTTGCTGTGGTGACAATAAATAGCGGATAAGAGTGACAGCCAAAGCATAAGACTAGGGTGTGAATCAGAGCTGGGGTGTCGGGGAGATAGTGTTGCAGGCTCTCAAACTCCAGGGGCGTCATTGCTGCCAGCGGAAAACGACAAAAGGTTCTTGCCACAGCAACCACTGAAATATCATTATTATGGTTGTAGCAGCATTTTGTTGCCATTATTGTTACTGCTGCTGCTGCTGCTGCTGCTCCTGCTGCTGCTTTCTGCATAAATGCAACTGCGCAAAATTTTAGCATAAGCAGCTGGGAATAACGTCAGCCAAAAAGATGTAGCTGCTGCAAGTCAAAACACTTTATGGCTTAGGCACGTCCCAAAAAAAATATATATATATATATAATAAAATAAATACATAATAAAAATGCGCGCTCAGGCAAATGTCACGTCTATGCGCTTTGTCGCGGATTTGTGTCGCACAAGCTGGCGCATAAATATATGAATTTCTAATGAGACAGGCCCATAAGGATGCCCCACCTAACAGGTACTCGCAACACACACAATTGGGGAAGAACAAAAAAAGTTTTCCTTTTACTTGTAAATTATTAGTTGAACATTCGACGACATTCGGTCGCCTCTTTGACTCCTATTGGTAGTAATAAATGTAAAAACTTTTTGTTTCATTTGAGTGGCAAAGTGCTCCGGTGAATTTGTTGACAACTGGCCAACTGCCAGCTGTCGAGGGATATAGTTACGATAGTTACAGCAACAATTGCCACCCAAGTTGGAAATGCATTTATTAACGACCTGCACTGCTCGCCTTGGCCAACAGTTTATAGTTTACACAACTTCTTGTCAGCTGTCTTAGGCACTCGTCCTGTGCAAACTTTCAAAGACTGGAGACCCATAAAATATGCATCAATTTATTTAAGTGAGTTGTATTCTCGACCCTCTCCCAACCCTCTGCGAGAATGTTGTTATGTTAAGGTGACACTGACTTACTGGCTTACTTATGACAATTTTATAAATATTTGAGAACAAAGATGATGGGGAGAATATTGCTTTGTGCTCCCAAAACCATCTGAGTTAAACAAAGTACACTTTTTTATAATGTACATTGCTAGTAAAGTTTCCAAAGTTATTTAAAAATTGTAATAAATATTCAAAACTGATGCACATATTAATAATTATAATTAATGCATAGTCGATTGTAATCGGATCTGATATTAACCATTTTCAACATTCAATTTGATTTATATACATAGTCCAGCTCTAATTGTAATTGAACTTGGTGTAATCAATCTTGGTGATATATATTGATTTATAGACTATTTGATAAGAGCTTATTCAAGTTTAGATTATAAAGATATGTATAGTAAATGGTTAATATTTATATTATGCTTAGACTGGAATAAACATTTATTTTTTTTGCTTAAACTAAATCTAAAAATCATACCAAACTAACTTAGTATATAAGAGATAAATTGATAAGTTGAGTGAATAATTATTTATTCCAAAAATTCTTGAATTCATGTTAGAATCAAGATTATAGGATCTGTGGAGAGAATAAGAATAATAATCGCCTTTTTAAGTTGAGCTAAGTTTGTTGTATAAATTATTTTCCATTCGCCATATGCCAAAATTGAAGCAAGTTGAAGCCATTTGGATTGGCTTATCTTAGGGGGGGTCTTTAACCTTTGTGTTGCAAGAGAGTCTCATTCTTACCGCAAATGGCGGCATTTTTCATTAGGTCTCTGACAGATTGAAGTGGGCCTCGTAGCTTCTGGTAACATCATATTAAAAGGCAATTTTATAAACTGTTGCGCACCGCGCGCAGAAGGCGCTTCAGAGTACGCAATCAAAAGATTTAAATCTAATATCAAGCACTGTCTGCTGGCTGCCAAGTGGCAGGAAAATACAATCTAAAATACGCAAACTTACCCCACTAACTGCACCCCTCACCCCTCTCGTTCATTTGTCAACAGCCATCCAAATCGGCGTGCCTCGGTGCGCGGCAGCGTCTCACAACCGCAATTGGGTTACACAACAAATGGAAATGGAGGCGGCGGTTATGGAAGTGGAGTGGGAGGCGGAGGCGGAGGCGGTGGCGGTAGCGACGGAGCAACAGCTGCGACAACGAGCTGCATAACCGCTGGAGGCGGTGGTGAAGGTGGCACAAACCGAATGAGCATTGCCACCATACAGACATCAGGCAGCGGAAGCGGCAGCCTCAATGGCAATCATCCACTGGAGCAGGTGGCGACAATGGCGTCGATGACGATGACGACGACGAAAGCGACAGCGATGGCGACGACCCAAACGGTGACAGAGGAGCGACGCCACAAGCTGCGCCCCTTCAAAATTGCTTTGAATCGTGTTGGCACGCCTACGCTTAATTTGCCGTAAGTACTACCAGCCACCAGCCACCAGCCAAGTGGGCAACTGGCCACGTGGCCCAACGGGGGGCTGTCGGTTCAGGTTACTCAATTTCTAAAGTGCTTTCACCAACAGCTTTCTCAACAGTCGCGCCAAGCGCAACAGTCTCTCGGCGAATGCGGTGGCCACCGAACAGAAGGCCACCAAGGTATTGGGTCTGGTCTTCTTCACCTTTGTGCTGTGCTGGTCACCATTCTTCATACTGAACATCATCTTTGCCGTCTGCCCGGAGTGCCAGGTGCCGGAGCATGTGGTCAACACATGCCTCTGGCTGGGCTATGTCTCCTCGACGATCAATCCGATCATCTACACTATTTTTAATCGCACCTTTCGAGCGGCCTTCATACGTCTCCTAAAATGCAACTGTGAGCGGTAAGTGGAATGGGGGTGGCAGGGGTTGGTTGCAGTGGTTGCAGTGGTTCAATGGCTTGTGTAATTTATTGCGTTTAGTTGTGCTCTGTGCAACGTGATGTATGATTGGGCTTACAGCGCTTTGTGTTTGGAAATAAAATCAATGTGAGATTTACTACAGCCACTGGCAATGTGTGAACAATACACAAGATAAATAATTGTACATATGTGCAACAAGACGTTGAACAATTCATGTGTTCAGATAAAGTGTCCAAATATTTCATATGTGATACATGATAAATGGGGGCAAAATACTCGACTTAGTCTACGTTACAACTGCTTATTGATTCTGTTCTATATTTAATCTTAGAAATTCTCTTGATATTGCATTTTAGTAAAGCATTCTATTAGAATAAGCTAAACTGTTTTGCTTCAATGAAAACGTAAATGGATTGAATACCATTAATTATTAATTTAACCAAAAACAATTCAAGCTGGGACTCGTACTGCCTTAAAATTTATTTCGATATTATTTGTAGTCATATGATGATAATATAAATCTTTGTTATGTAAGCCCAATTTGCGTCTGAAAACGTAAATCATTAAAATAATTGAAACTAGTCTATTTTATTCCTTATCATTTATTTCACGAATACCAATTAGAAATTTCCACATTTAATTAATAAATAGAGAACATATAAATTAAAGTTGTTCAAAAAAAGAAAGTCAAACAGCTTCGCATTGAAATCATTGATTGATTGTCTGACTTTAAAAGTATTCAACTAGAAGCGCATTGCGCATTGATTGTTCTTTAAGGGAAACTTCCAACTTTTTGCGAGCAAACATAAAAAAATAAGGTTTGATAGGTTCGAAGCGAAAAAAGTTGACACAAGCCATTCAAAGCTTCGACTGATGACTTGGTAAATAATAAAAAAAAAAAAAGAAGAATAATAAACCCTCTCCAATGTCCCTTATTGGCCTTTCATTGCAGTTCGGGTCGTCCGTTACGCTATCGGTCCGTGACGGAGGGGCGCAGTGCACTGAGCCTATGTGCCCCCTCCGCCCTGCCACTGGCAATCTCGTTCCAGGGCGCCCCCCTAATGACGCCATCGACAACGAATGCGACGCCGCTGAGCGAGTTCCGGGGCAGCTATACAATCACCGATGACGAGTGCTGAGCGGAGCAACTCAAGCAAATACGAATTTATGGGCCGTGATTGGTAAGAAGTGCAAGTAATCAAAGCAAAGATAGCAACGAAGACAGCAGACAGACCTAGTTCAACCTGAAATCAAATGTAAACTACAGGGTCATTTAAAATCCGAATCAAATCCAAATGGCAAACACATACCAATATTCAATACTTGATGACTATTTAATTATGTAGCAAGTGTTATTACGTAAGGAAAGGCAAACTATTTAGTAAACTTCATCATATCATGAGCAAGCGAAATAATGTTTATATTAGTCAGGCGTGACTGTACCTGTACTTTCATTCTTCATGCCACCCCATTGTCACTGTACTTAAGACCTAAACATTTCCCAAACAGAAACTATAATTTATATGTACGTATGTATGTAAATGTGTACTAAATACAATTAGTATTAAAATGCGACGTTGTGTGTAACTCTAAGTGTTCGTTATTAACTGTAGTTGCTGTGTTTGTTATTCATTTGAATTAATTGCAACTCGAATGTTGTAGTGAAATTTCTGTCTGGCATCCCATGATGACTACTATTCCAAGTCACGTCAATATAAGCGCCCCTCTGTTATTGTCTAGCAGATAGCTCTTAAGAATAACTATTTTGTCATGCATCAAATGTAGAATAAGATATGATAGACATACTTAATAATAATGTATATACATATACATGCCTGCTAACAAGAGAGCATCCTCGTTGCTATATTCTACAATAAACATGTATTTCTATTTCAATTGTTTACGTCTTCTAAGCAACTGAGTGGAAAAACTTGTACTTGCTGTTTTTTATTTCATTTTCATGACATAAATGTCACTTTTGTAGAGATATCGAATTTATAAGAAGGTAAGAATGCTTTTGACTTGAGTGTTTGACTGGAATCGGTGCTTACTTGTTCTATTGCTGAGATGGCTAAATTAAATTGAAGTATTTTTTATTTACTTTCTTTTTTAATACATATAACTGCGTTTGTTCTTAAATTTTTAAGTATTTTGTTTTGCAGCTAAATTTCGTTTATTCGAATTTTCAACGGAAAAGTTTGATTTGATTTGAAAACGTGTTGATAAAGTTAAAGACCTAAGTTAAATCGTATTTTTATAAATGGATATATTTTGCATATTTCAAAAGTTCCCAATTGTTTCCAGATCTGAACTTCCCCAAGGAACACTCTTCCTTAATATTGTTACTGCTGTTATGCAATCTCAGAGCAGCTTAAATTCAATTGAAGTATTTTTGATTTACCATTTCTTTTTTTTTTTTTAATGTGACCTCGCTTGTACTTCAATTTTGAAAAATGCTAAACTTCTTTAATTGGAATTTTCAACGGAAAACTTTGATTGTGTGTAAACAAATCAACTGAGTTGCGTTAGTGAATAAGTTTTGAAAAACAAAACAGTTTTAAGTTAGAAAACAAGTAAAGTTGGAGACATAAGTTAACTGATTACTTCTGGTATTTGTGAGAATTACAATCAGTTGAATATTTCAAAAGTTTCAAGTAGTTGCGTACCACGCACATCTCTTTGAACCATCTTTGTCTGCTTACGTTTGAGTTTGAGCCTGACACTGACATTGAATGCTGCGTTGACAGAAGTGCAGCATGTGTCACGCCTGAGGGACATCTAATCAAGATCTTTGAGTGTTGGGCGGACCCAAGTGTTCTATGACACACACACACACACACACACACAGACAAGCAAATTTAGCATGGCCGTCCATGCCGTTTACTGTGCAGCTCGACAGCAAACAGTTTCCGGCAGCTGATGGCAGTTGATGGCGTTGCCAGCCCACTCGAAACTTTCGTCACACTTTGGTGAAGCATCTGTAGTCGAATGTGGACCGAGGTGGGAGGTATGGGAAGATTGGTAAATGGATGCAGGGTTGCTTATGTTCTGATGCGTTTGGTACTTTCCATGAAAATTGCATTATTGTCATACATTTTTAATGCAATTCAAATGCTTTTAAGACCAAAGAAGTAAAAATGCATTGAAATTGGAAAGAGATGGACGCACTTACGAGGTGTCTAGAGTTGCAGTAATAACAAAATGTGTGTGTGTGTGTGTGTTGCACATATAGCGTGGGGCATGCTGAAGCCGATGTGGTGTTAAGCGCTAAGACGACGCCAACAACAAAGTGCACGACAAAACGGCGACAAGAACAACAAAGTGCACGACAAAATGGCGACGAAAACAACAATAAACTAGAGAAAGGCAATTATAATGTGCGGCAAACGGCATACAAAATAAAAAGGAAAATGTGGTAAAGAATGAGAGAACGTGTCAAAGTAAGTGTAAGCGAAGGAATTGTGTGTGGAAGCGTGAAATTGATTGTCGCGTTGGCATTCGCTCACATCTCAGAACCAGTACTCAGCCTTAGCCTCAGCCTTAGCCTCAGCCTCAGCCGGCATGCGGCATGCAATTCTGCGAATAGAATTTTCAATTTTCCAACACACCTCTTCAAGCCGACTTGAAAGGAAATTTGCGATTTCAATAGCAAAGCCCAAGCAGGCGAACATTTGCATTTGCCAAAAAAGAAAAAGAAACAAAAACACAGACACAAGAAAAAAAACACAAAAGCAAATCACGGAGGAAACAAGCGCTGATCGCTCAATTGTTCACATATGCACATTTCCATAAGAAATACTCATTACCTGGCGGATTTGGCTTATTTATTATGCGACACACACGCACACACACACACACACATAAACACACAGTTACAGTTGGGATTAGCATTCAACACTTTGACGCTTCATTAGCTTTGTGCTTGATGGGGAGTGACGACTCTCAATCTAAATAAAATACAATTGCCATTTATGAGATGACTTTTTGCCTGTTTGTGTTTCAGCATTCGTTTTCAGCTCAATTTCACCAATTTTTATTCGGAATTATAATGTTTTAATTTACGAATATAAATCTATCTTTTTTTACAATTTTAAGTAAACTGGTGAGACAAACTTCATAAATCTTATCTCGAGTTCCAGACTTCTTAGTGAAAAAAATAATAATAAGCTTCAAGTGAAAGGTTTTGGAGTAAGAAACATATTCTAAAAAATACAACTAAAACTATCTAGTTTAGTTAAAGTTTGAGCTATATAATTGTGAAACTCGATAAGTCAGTATAAATAGCAATAATACAAATAAAGCTCATATTAATTAGGCTGGTCACGATAACAAGCAAAGCGCCATTGAAAATAAAAACATATATATACTCGTACGCACATTAATTTATACAATCTTAAAGAGAAGAAAGAAGAAAACACCTGCTGCTGGCTTAACCAACCTGCCGAGTGCTTTAAAAAAAGCTATTATTATGGCACATTTGTGTGTACGAAATTTGATTCAACTTCGGCATAAGGTGCGTATGTGTGATATGAGGTTGTGCAACTTGACTGCTAGTTGGACGATAGTCGGTAGCCGGCAATCGGTGTTGACTTTGTCAGTGGTGCTGTGTTGTTTTAGCACTTGTTGTTTTTGTTTGCGGACACCAAACGTGTCCTTCTCAGACAGCAGCTGAAGCTAAAGGATAAGTGGAAGCAGTCGTGCGTGTAATTGATAAAAGCATCTGTCGGAACTGCTGTGTTAACACTCGACCCTTATTTTAGTAATTAGACCACGGGTTGCCACGAATATTTAACAATTTATGCATGAGCCTAACGCAATACGGATATCTTTTCTGGAGCAAGAATAAGAATAAGATTAAGCTCACAAGTCCTTGATTACCGCTCAGCCCGTCCGTCAATGCAAAATGGACACGAAATTCAACCAAAAAGGTTTTCACCTTCAGACTATGTGGCTGGGCTGGACCCTTGGGCATCCTTGCTCCCATTCGAATTCTGCTGAGAAGATTAGTAAAATTGGTTGCTCGACTGTTTTTTCAGCCGCTCCGATTTGCACGTGGCCCCTTTTGGCCAAGTTACTTGCTGTAAGCCATTCGCTCTCAACGAACACCAAGGCCAGCAGCGCTGATAAATTGAACGTTTGACAGGATGGCAGCCACCTGTCACACTTATCTTAAAGATGGCATTATGGAAATCAAATCAAAGCGGCATCTGTAATAAAAATGTTCGAATTGTGAATGCTATCTGTAGATTATATAGATTATACAAAAGTAATTCAATACTTGAATTTTTGCTCATACCTTTTTCTTGCTCATTGTATTTAAAGAAAGGTCTTTAATATATAGGATTATGAATATTTGTGAATATGCTTAAAGCTACCTGAAAGAAATATATTTTTCAAATTAATATGTGTTTGGTTTACTGTGATTATTGGCGCTTTTATTTAAAGGTCCTTAAAACAGCTTACATGTGAGTATGGGCATTATTGCCTTTGTTAGCTCAGATATTAACATAACATTTGGAATTAAGAAAATTTTGTATTTTTTGTTGGCAATATGATTAGCAACATGTTGTGTTGTGAATGCAATGAGGGGTAACCCTTTTGGGAAAAAGGTAAGCACATAAATTAAATTCTCTAATTATGCAACAGCGTGTTTCTGGCCGGCAACATTTGCTAATTGCTTATAAATTGTTGAATTGCTTAATGTTTTCAACAGCTGACTGGCAAAAAGGGGTTAATGAGGAGCGTGCCCAGGGGTACGATAATTTGAACTAGGACACATTGCGGGAGAAATTCTCGCCATGCCGGAGCCAATTAGCAGGCGCAACAAATGGCCATTTTGTGTTAATTAGCCGCGTTAGTGGGAGACTGCTGTTGTTATCCTAGGTGATTAGTTACAGCCATGGCATATTGATGCCAGCTAATCGCATTGAGCCAGCAGCATCTGAGCCGGTTGCCAAGACATGTTTCGCTACTTAGTGCCCTGCAGGCTGATTTAGCGAATTGGTGCAGCTAAATGAAGTGGCAGATAACAGTCACAATGTTGCCACAACTATTCGAGTCAGGTCCTTAGGTCCTCAAGTCCTTGCGGCAGCGCAAACCGTTCGAATTGAATTAAAATGACAAAACCCAATTTTCTCTCGGTTCGCCCAAAACGAATGTATGTGCACATCGCTTGACTGCCACACAGACCTTTGCTAAACCTGATGGGAAACTTGTCGAAGCAGGGCAATCAATCACAGAAATTAAAAAAATTCACTAAGAGCGAAAAACTAGAATGCTGAAATAAAAGAAATTGGAAAAGGAAAATCAAGATTGTGTGTAAGCATGCTCAATTGTTCAGTTCAACGATATACCCTGTAATTATGATTAAAATTAAGAATGCATGCAGAGAGTAAGGTATTGTTTTTTAAAATAATATTTTCTTCTTATATGTTTACATTTTATAAGTACGTATGTATTTAAAAAAAAATAGTTCACTTTCTTTTTAGACTCAAATCATAATAATAATAATAATAAAATTATTATGATAATAATAAAAATATAATTTAATATACACAGAATTACTTAAATGGATTAAAATTAAATAACAGTTGAAAACACATATTTTAATAAGTGAAAGGAATTATATTTTATTATACGGGTCAAATTTGCACTTACTTTGAGGTTTCAATTGAAATAAATTAAAGCATACTTTCGGGCTACAATGTAATTAACTAGATAAGCACTAAATTCAAACATCTTACGGCATACGAGTACTTTGAGGGGTACATTGGTGACCAGACAATAGCTGCAATTCTGTCAAATGCTTGCCAAAAGAATCACAAGAACCTCCTTTATCGGGGTGCACTCAAGGAATATTGGCTTATCGAATAATCCAATCACGTGTTAAAATTCGAGTTGGATTCACAAAATCTGGTTTCTGTAAATACAAAAAGGATCCACAAGTGTATAACCGAGATAAAGGCAATTTTCTGTCTTGAAAGCGTTCCTTTTATTTTAACCGCTTGAAGCACTTTCATCCTTCCTAGGACTATCTGTGGTCGAAATAATATCGTGATATGATTATACCGGACTCCGTGATTTATTTGAGCTTGTGAAATTTGTACCCAAACTTTTTTATCGAAAAGTTAAAATCCTTAAATGCACATCGATAGTCCTTTGTGCTGAGCTCAAAAATATGTTTCCTTTCAATATTCGTATGGATATTGTTTAATAACGCATATTTTTTTTACAAAACTAGCTCTAACTTTGACAAATCCTTGCAGAATTTCAAAGGAGTTGCATTGGAATCGACAGATCTATTGCTATCAATCTGCATATAAATGACTTTATTTTCCGTTCTAAAAATAATATTCCCTTTAGTATTGGTTGACAGGGTAGAAGCAACAAACAGGTAAGCCAAAAAATCGACAAGAAATACATTTATCTTCATCCGCCACAAGGGATGGTTAGAAAAACTCAATGCGGTTTTTATCTAATGCAATTCGTACTCTTTATTTGCTTTCTCTATATATATTTTTGTCTCTATCTCTCCCTTTCTGAGGTTTGCCAGATATACGTAAACAAAAGCCAGACAAAATCAATTTCCGGTCAGTTTGGCAATAAAGGCATGTATTGCCTGGGGATGAGAAATAACACAGACCAACAGAGAGCCTTTTAGTTTTGAACAAGGAGTCAATTGTATTTCAGTTGCATAGGCAACAAATAATGCAATTGCAATTATGCGAACAGATCCAATTACTTATAGCTAATTAATATGCTATTTACAGAATGCATTTAAACACCACTTGGACTTCAATTCGTTAGATGGGTGTGTGACGCTTAAAGCTAATTAGTATTATATATTTATATATATATATATATATATATATATATTTATATGAGACAACTTAAGTATTAGTAAGAACTGCCTAGCGGTGGTCATCATCTCATTGGTTAGGGGGATCTGCTCTACTTCAACAGAAAGTCCATCTCTGATTTCGTGGTTGACATATACTGATCCAGCTCCTTGTCCAGATCCTCACGCTTCACCTCCCCGCGCCGCTGATTTCCTAGGTGATGGAGAGCAAGAAAAAGAAAACGAGTATTAATCGGAGCACCTAGGCATAAGATTCCATATTCCATCATATTGAGTCGTTATACGCTCCCATCCAGCAGGCAGCCTGGTGTGTCCAGTGAGCCGCCAATCTTGCAACGCTTTTACCTGGAACCGTCCGACCACCACGAACACGACTACGTCCGCGACGACCCTGCTGCTGTTGTTGTTTCTGCTTTCCCTTGCCAGCTCCAGCGGTGCTATTCTTCTTGGCGACTTTGCCAGCGTTGCGCTGCAGACTGCGTCCTCGACGACCACCCCTTTGTCGGCCATTCGATGAAACTGCCGCACCAGCAGTAGCACCCCCAGCAGCAGCAGCAGCATTACGTGCTCGGGAACGGGAACGGGAGCGAGAACGATGAGTGACGGCGCCACCTGCAGCAGCAGCAGCAGCAGCAGCTCGTACAGCAGATCTGCAAGGAGGCAAATATTTAATTATGGTAATTACTAATTCACAAACTAAATCTTGCGGGATACCTTATTGCTGGATCTTAATATACTTAACTCTTAGGATAAAGGAAGTTTATTTTAGAGGCGCTATATCTAAGTCTGTTCAAGTTACTACTGGAGTACCACAAGGAAGTCACCTTGCCCCCTTGTTCCTCACGTTATTCATAAATGAACTTTCGTCAGTTAAGAGTCTTTTCCTGAGTCGACTAAATTTATTAAATCTTATTTGTGATAAATACAAATCAATGCCTTTTTATAGGCGAGTGCCCATTTTAAATAATTCTTAATGGAAAACTCGCTGGATCGCATTGAACGTGTTGATGACTTGGGTATCCTTTTAGAACCCAAGCTTAAGTTTGACATGCATATTTCTTCCTCTGCAAATCAAGTCTTGTATATTACTAAAACACTATAAATTTAACTTGTGCATCCTACTTTCGAATACGCGTCTTGCATATGGTACGCCAATTACAAGGTTCATCAGAACAGGATAGAGTCCGCACAAAAACTTTAGACTTTTATTGATAAATATTCCTTATTTTTCTGATTGTAGATCGTAATTCCGATCAGAAATACAAATAATTTTCGAACTCTTTCTTTCTTTCCATAACACATTTTGGATCTAATGGGAATGGGGCATATTTGAAAATGCTGCTCTTACCTGCCACGTGCACGTCCGTTGCGTCCTCGTGCACCACCGGCGGCGGCAGTTGCTACTGCCTTCTGTGCCGTGTTCGAGTTGCGACGCTTCTCGATTCGTCCGGCGACTACGCCGCGCTGTCTGCTGTTACCGCGACGATTGCCACGTCGCTTATTGGCAGCTCCAGCTCCAGCTGCTGTTGCTGCTGCCACGCCCGGACGAACGCCCAGGCGCTGCTTGACCGACACACGACGCGGTGCACGCGGTGCACGCGGCGCACCCCTTGCACCGTTTATCGCCGGCTGGCGACGTCCACGGCTCTGCGAGCGTCCCGAACGGCTCGGATCCCGGCTGCGACTGCGGGCCCGATCGCGTCCACCACCAGCACCACCACCACCACCACTTAGGGAACGGGCGCGTCCACGACTGCGTGAACGGCCGCGTTGCTGCTGCTGCTGCAGCTGATCAGCCCTTTGCTGCTGCTGGCGCGTTAAGCCGCGTCGACGTTGAGCCACACGCTCGGCGGCACCACCCACTGTGGGTCGACGCTGGCCCAGACGCTGGCGCAGTCCGGCCACAGCCGAATTGGAACGTCGATTGCTGCTGCTGCCGCTGCGACGGGGGGCGCTGCGTCCACTATTGGCAATCAGATCGGCGCGCATGCTAGTTATGTGTGGGTTTCAAGTTGTAGATAGGCGGAATAAGCAGAAGAGGTAGATGTGTTTTTATGTTGTAGTTGCATTTTTGGAGCAGAGCGAGCAGTCTTCGTCCATTGACTCTGATGCAGGCAGTCAATCAACAACAGCTACAAAGTTTGTTTTTATTTTTTTGTTAGATGCTTACGTTGCCAGTCGGTTGACGTTGTTGGAGCGCATCGGTCTTCCATTGGGTCCGAGGCGGAGCGTTTTGGTGGCGCCAAGGCGTGCGGTGGAGCCGCCACCACCACCGCCACCGCCGCCAGCAGTTGTCCGCAAGCTTCTCTGTAAGATGCATAAGGTTTGTGATGGATTTTTCGTACTTTGTTTGTTTGTTTTGTTTGTTGGTTGGTTGGGTATGTTTTTGTTTTGCGTTTACAGACTGAATTCAGACGCTGCTCAAGCGGTAGCTGTTCAGTGTGTTCTCTGTGTGTCAACAAACAACAACAACAACAACAATTACAACGACAACAATAGAAGAAGTCTACTACAAGTGGGTTTAGTTTTTGGGCTAAGCTTCTCCACGAGATCTGGGCTGAACTTGGCTAGCTATGAAAACAGACGGTGTCTGCCTGTGTCTCTCTGTCTGCATCGGCTGGCTGTTGGATGTATTTAGTTATATTGTTATATATTAATTCCATTTCCAGTTGCAGCGCGGCTGCTCTTTGCGCCAAGTCAACGCCTTGCCTTGCCCAGCCAGGCTCAGAGAATAAAGAACACCATGCAGATGTCGTCGTGGCTCAGTTCATACTCGATCCACAATCCCAGAGTAATTTATTACTCTGATTGCTCTTTTCTACCTTTGTTTTGCTTGTTTGTTTTTTTTTTTTGGAAGGGGGAGACACATACGCGCTTCAGTTTGAGGGCCGTTTGCACGGTGTGCTTCCGTTTGAATTCCTGCAGCAGGCGCGTATTTTCCACCGATGCTGCTGCATTCACAATGCGGCGACTGCGACTCCTCGACCGACTCCGACGGCGAGCAGAGATTCCTTCTCCGCCGCCTCCACTAGCCGATGGCTGTTGCTTTTGCATTTGAGTGAAACGATCGTTCAGCGATATTGCAGTCTGCACCATTTTAGATACTTATTTTTGTAGATGCTTCTTTATTTTCTCTTTTAAAGTTCACTTTTATTAATTGCTGCAGTGTTGAATTTTGTGCTCTTATCAGCGTGTGTCCGACTTGAAACTTGGTTTGCAACTGTAAGCAAAATCAAAGCAGAGGGTTAGTTTTATACACCCAATAATTAGCTACCTGCAGGCAGCTCTCAAATCAAATATATACACAGGTAGTTGGATAAATCTGCAAGTTTGCAGCTGGCGCTAAATGTGAAAAAGCCATAAAAATGGGATTAGAAACACAAGAAAGAATTTTAATCGACAGCTGTTCTGGCAATAAAATTACTCTAAAATATAATATAATATAACACCATAAAAAATATATATGTAGATCAATATATATATACGTTTGTTTAGTTTAGTATAATTTTAAATATGAAATGCATAATTGCTCCAATAACTAAACACTTTATATGTATATTTTATATATATTTGGAAATGAGTTCATAAAGCATAATGCTCAGCATAATGCTCAGATGTATTCTATAATTATACACACATTGTTGCCACAACAACAACAACAACGGCAGCAGCAGTAGCAGCACCTTTGACTCATTAATGGATACACACAAATGTTTCTGTGTATATATCATGCAATATACGTTTTTAAAATTACATAAATGATATTAAACTTTTACTTACATTAGAATTGCTCCTTTTTAATTCTTTTATTGGATTTCCAACGACGAATTTCACAATTTTTTCTTAAGCGGTTTACACGCTTTTGCGATTATGCTAATTGAATGTTCCACTTTCAAGTTGTTATTTACACCGTTTAGATGGCGTATCAGCGTTGTATAGTTGATTTTTATTACTATTTGTTAGCACAATTTATGATTTTTCTTACAGTTTTCACAAAGAATGAAAAACGCAAAAGGTATAGCTTGGTAGTGTTGGATTGCGTTGAATTTTCTCATCAGTGTGACCAAATTGGAATTGCTCTCAAAAATTGGAGTGAACTAGTTCATTGGTGCCATTTTAGTATTGGTGAACTGTCGTTAAATATTATACATTCTTGAATATTATTTTTAGTTCCTACTATATTTTTTGCTTTAACAACCACTAATTATATTATTAATATGGAGCTATCTGACAGCGATATGTAAATTTCAAATATTATAAATTCTTGTGTATAATTTTAGTGCCTATTATATTTATTGCTTTATTAACCACAGATTCCATTACTAAAATGGATCTATCTGGCAACGCTGTCTTAAGCATTTCTTGACTAGTCAAATACGGTCACACTCGCAATTCAATATTAGTTATTTTTGGTTTTAACATTTGATAGTTTTTCGATTAACAACATGCTGCACACATAGTATTTGCACAGCCGGCACGAGTAACGGCTGTGCCACCAAGCAGCATTATCACCAAACATCAGACATCTTGCCACACAACTCATTAAAATGTAAACAAACACACACACAGAATAGCTCACCTACAAGCCATAAACAAAAAAAGTTGTTTGTTTTAATTGCTGTTGTTGTTGCCTTAAAATTATGCAAAAACTAGTTTTGCGCGGTTATTGAACTTATGACACTTGACTCGAGCTGCCCAAAAAAAAAAAAAAACGCTTGAGGCGTGATTAGAAATAGCTGGCCATCAGAACTCAAATTCAGTTCGATCTTCAAACCGAGCCAAACCGTGCAGAAAGAAAGAATTCGAAGACGGAACAGAAAAGTCGCCACATGCACGTCTACAAAATGTCAAATCGTGCTCCCGAGCTGATTATATGGTAAGACAATTAAATCGTTGTTATCTTAACTACCTAATAGTATTATTTATTCGATCGTATTATTTAAATGTATATCTGTTATTCGTTAGCTCCTTCATTATCGTCAGCTTGCTGGTGATACACTTCTTCTCGGACCTGTTGCGCATCTCCTTGGCTGGCAGTTATGCGCTGGACGTGACACTGTCGCAGCTGATCGAGGCCCAGTCCAAGGAGTATGCGTGGTTGCTCAAGCTGCTGGTCAACTGCTTCGGCTACAGCTGTGTCTTTCTGCCCGGCTATCTCATCTACAAATATGTGCAGCGCAGCAGCTACTTGGAGCGTGGCAATCGCACGTTTCTGCACACGGCCATCAATATGTGCATCACGGGCAACTCCAGTTACGAGTCTGTCGATGTCATACACGCTGCCAGCAGCAGCGGCAGCAGCAACGGCCTATCTACGGAACGTTCCCACAAGCGGACAAGTTCACAGGAGGCGGTGCAGATGCTTTGGTGTTTTGGCGGCCTGATGGTCTCCTATCTGACATGGGGTGTGCTCCAGGAGAAGATTATGACGCAGCATTATCTGAATTACGCCGGTGAGAGTTCAAAGTTCAAGGACTCACAATTCCTGGTCTTTGCCAATCGCCTGCTGGCCTTCGTCGTCGCCCTCACCTATATGCAGTGGCAGCCATCGACTTCGCGACATCGTGCCCCACTGTACAAGTACGCGTATGCCTCTTTCTCGAATATAATGAGTGCCTGGTTCCAGTACGAGGCGCTTAAGTTCGTCAGCTTCCCCACGCAGGTGCTGGCCAAGTCCTGCAAAATCATACCCGTCATGCTGATGGGCAAAATCATGTCCAAGGCCAAATATGAAACGCATGAATATCTAACGGCTCTGCTCATATCCCTGGGCATGATCTTCTTCATGAGCGGCTCCTCGGAGAGTAGTAGGGCCAGTGGCGTCACAACGCTAACGGGCATCTTTCTGCTGTCCATGTACATGCTGTTCGACAGCTTCACGGCCAACTGGCAGGGATCGCTCTTCAAGAGCTACGGCATGACCTCGCTGCAAATGATGTGCGGCGTCAATTTGTTCTCATCGATTTTCACGGGCGCGTCGCTTTCCATGCAGGGCGGCTTCATGGACTCGCTAGCCTTTGCCACGGAGGTGAGTTACCCAAGTCTTGAATGTGTTTATTTCATTATTTGCTGATCTACGTATAGATTAAAATCGTATATTAAACTCTATTCTTCATGCTTAGTCGATATTTGTACACTATATTTGTTTATTCTACACGAGAACACATTTTCAAATTCCATACGGAAACAGCTAACAATGGTTAACCCAATTGTTTTGTTTAATTTATGTAGCATCCCAAGTTTGTGTTTGATATGGTTGTGCTCTCCATTTGCTCAGCGGTCGGCCAATTGTTTATCTATCACACAATTGATGTATTCGGGCCAGTTGTGTTTACCATCATAATGACAGTGCGTCAGGTAAGTTTCTCACCCCATTTTCTAAGAACGTTTATTTTTATTTCGAATACGCTCTTTGCTGCAGGCCGTTGCCATCATGCTCTCCTGCTTGATCTATCAGCACAGCATTACGCTGCTAGGCATCTTTGGGGTGCTCATCGTGTTCGTGGCCATCTTTTTGCGTGTCTACTGCAATCAGCGTCTGAGGGCGAAACGCAAGCGTGCTGAAGCCAACAAGCCGAGAGTAGCTGTTTAGTTGGGCAACATGCCTCTCAAACTATGACGCACAGTTTGCTGCAAATCTTTGCTCAGTTAAGATAAAAAAAAGAAAAAAAAAACTATTTTAATGTCAGTCAGCGATTGTTTATTTACCATTTATCAGGTCATAGACTATTATCAATTGTACAGTTACGTTTTTTTTTAGTTTTAAGGCAAAAAGAAAAAAGTCCAGAGGCTTTAGCTACTATTGTATTTGTAATAATGCAGCTATCAGCCTAAAATTATGAATAGGCTCAATACTTTAACTGTCTAATGCAGCTCCCGTTTAACCTGATGTGCTTAGCTTATGGAATATATAAATATATATATATATGTATGTGTGTACTTCCGTAATTGCTTGATGTTTGTATATCGATTTAAACATAAACTGTCAGATGTAAATTAATGAATGAGTTCAATGGTTTCCGATTAGCATTGGCTATTAGGGAATTGTGCATATAAATTGAATTCCATATTCAAAAACCAATAAAAGTTTAAATAAAATACATAAAAATGATTTCTGAATGAATGTTCTCTTTTGCAAGCAAATCATATATTTGTATCCACAAACTGAGCTTAATAGTTTTCAACATTAAATTGCGTTGTGTCAGCTCAAATTATCTAGAAGAATGTTGTAATCGAAACTAGCTGAGCTTATATATATATATACATATACAATATATTACAGCTGATCTTTCTCTGCAGCTGTCTGTGCACGCTTCCCATCACATCACAGCGAAACATAAAGCACAATAAATGAAGGGGGCTCCCAGCATAGTCATCGCGACATTGACCCACTTGTGTGCCATTATTTTTGGCAACATATATGGAGTGTCTGCTGTTTTGGCCAAATCTTCAACAAGTTAGAGCTCCCTATGGCTGGCTGGTTGGTTTTTGCTTTTTACATTTGACACAGGTCAATGCACAAGAGTCGTCAGCTTGTAACTCGTTTTCAGAGCCATGTGGGCGAAACGCTGCTTGGCTGTTTATCATCATCATGATGATGATGATGGTTGGGTTAGGCGGGGGCGATCCAAATTAGCATTTGTATAAAAAAAAAAACAATGCGAATGCGAATGCGAATGCGCTGGAAAAATTCGAGCTAATAAAAAAAGGGCATTATGCAATCGCATGCCTTCTAAGGGAAAACATCAAATTTGCCATGTTGTTAGCAATTTTCGTTAGTTTTTTGTGTTTTTTTTTTGGTTTTTGCACAGCCGTGCATAGGTGATAAATTGGGGCGTAGTCCAAGCTGGCAGCATAGTCCGTTGCCAACGCGTCGTTGAGATAGAAGTGTTCGCTGAATCGAATTGAGTGTAAATTAAATCCTTGAGAAATGCAGTTGATCAGTCTGCTGCTGCTGCTGCTTGGTGCCCTAGGATATTGTGTGGCTGCACCACGTGGCTACTACTACGGCAGCTATTACCCGCAACGGCGAGCCCCTCCATCGATCTACAACTACAACAATGCGCAACAACAGAGCAGCCGGTTCAGTCGGAGCCAGAGCAGTTCGAGCAGCAGGCAGGCGGACAAGGAGAATGCCAAGTTCGCTGGTGCTGCCAATCAGGAGCTGGACGAACTGAGCTCCGATGTCGGCGACGACAGATCTCTGCTGCTCAAGAAGAAGCTGAAGAGACTGTATCGACCTTTATATTCCGGCTATGGAGGACCTTGCTCTCCCTTTGGTCGAGACGCCGCCGGTGGCCGGAAAGATGAGGTCGAGCAGGGACGGTTTCTGTTCGACGTGAATGTGTACAATGTGTATGGCGGATCTAACGGCTGTCGTGGCTACAGTGGCCTGGGTGGTTTGGGTGGTTTTGGTGGCTTGGGTGGCTTGGGTGGCCTGGGCGGCGGTTTGCTGTCGGACCCCATTGCTCCCGTGGCGCCAATTCGACCCCTTGCACCTTTAGCCACCTGGCTATCGCTTTTTGCGCCCGGCATCTTGCAAAACAGCCTGGCGGCCACTGTACCCGCCAGACCCTACGCTGATCCACTCCCAGCACGTCCAGCACCGGCAGCTGGCGACTTGCAAAGTGATCCAGCCGTCGATCCCAACTACAACCCAGTTCCAGTGCGTCGTCCTGTTCCGAATCGCGTCTACTACGATTCTGCAGGCGCGGTAAGTCGAGACAACTCTTTCAAATTGAACTCAACAATAATTATGCAATATTAATAACAATATTACAATAATAATCAATTCCCAATTCCCATTTGTAGCCACCATTGACACCGGGAGCACTTACGGCCGGTGTCTCTACGACAATAAATGGAATAATTCAGCAGCTGACGGGTCAGGTGCAGCCGGTCTACCAGACGGGCACCTATCGCTCCACAAATCAACGCAGCAGCTATGGATAAACTCAAAAACGAGACTCGAGAAAAACAAAAACAAATCGATTAGTATTTAAATGTGATTATCTACAACTAGATGGTATCGAATACACATAAGACATAATATTAAAATGTAAAATATTATAAACCTTTAAAATTTATTACAATCGACCAAAAAGGAGCCCAAAAGTATTCTTACAGATGGAAAATATTACTTTTGAAAGTGTGGGGGAGAAATGGAAGCACAGATGAGCATGGCTATAGCGACTCGGGAATTGCACACTGCAAGACATACTTAATATATTCCTATATAAGGTCATAAAAATGTAAAATATTTTTAAATTCAGTTTTGATCCTTATTGCTATAAAGTATATACGAATTGTCTTTATTAATTAGGACATCAAATCCTTTCAATTTGAAGCTACCTTGCCATTAATATATTTGTTTGTCTTTGCTTAATATTATAATTTTGTTTTGGAACTTGTAACGCGCTTAAGAAGTCGTCTCCGACTGCATATTCATGATCAACTTCACTAGCTTAGTCGATATACCCATGTACGTCAGTACTTTATTTTTTCCATGCACACGGGTCCCTCAGTTCGATGTCTACCTCTTATTGCCGGAGACTGCTGGATCGGGTCACTATATCAATCGAGTGTTGAATTTATGTATGAAAAAAACTAAACCAAACTTGCCCACCTAACCCAAAAACCATTGAGATAAGACTACTGCATCATATAGCTTCCAAAAGGAACATTCGGTTGAAAGCTGAGTTTTGTATAAATAAAAACCTTTCTTTACCAAGCTAACACAACCAAATTCAATAGCCATTATTAACATCGGACTACGCTATGACATAGCTTTCATAGGAAAAATATGTCTCGTTTTTTTATTTATAGTAAATGTTAGATGACGGCACAAATAATTACTTTTGCTCTAAATAAAAAATACAATTTGCGCAAAGCCAGTTTGAGTTGTTTTGATTAAATGGCATCATAAATTGTGTTTATGTTGTCGCATAATGAATAATTTCCGAGTCTGTTCCTTCTTGCCCCTGATCGAGTTCTTAGTCATGCACGTACTATTATACAAATCTCACATCTGTGGCCCATACAATTTATGCACGTCGCGTTTAGCTCATTAAAATCAAGAAGTCATCAGAAGCAGCAGCAACAACAACAACAACAACAATTACGATGACAAGGACAACGTATCCACAGCAAGAAGAGAAACCGGATTTTACAGGGGATTTTCAGGCATTGTATTTTTTATACATATGAATATGCATATATGTATTTTTTAAATCGATTTTCAGTACAAAAGGTAAAAGCTAACTAGACTTAAGAATCACATTCAGCAGGGATTATCAGCCAAAGAAACCGCCGCCACCGCCATAGCCGCCATTATAATAATTGTTGGAGTACTGCGACTGGGACTGGCTGTAGTGACCTCCATAGGAACCACCATAGTTGTTGTAGCCACCACCTCCGGGATAATAACCGCCGCCGCCAAAGCCGCCATAGTGGGGTCTGTGTCCATATCCACCGCCGTAGCCGCCATATCCACCGCCGAAACCACCACCGTAGCCGTGACCGCCGCCATGATAGCCACCGCCGGGATAATAGCCACCGCCGCCGCCATGATACCCACCGCCGGGATAGTAACCGCCACCACTACCACCGAATCCACTGTAGAGCCCAGCGTTAAGTCCAATGCCAGCGCTCAGTCCAACGCTGCTGCCAAATCCTCCACCCAGCAGTCCAAAGGAGCGACCCTGTGCCTTGACAGGTGCTGGTGCTGCAACTCCATATCCAACAAGCGCCAATACAATCAAAAGCTGTAACAAAAAGAAACGATGAGCAGGTGCATCAGGAGTGGGAGACCCACCAAGACGTACACAACAAAAGCGCGCCATTTCAGGTGTGAGATAAATCCAAGATGTTGATATTTTGGGTAATGTGTCGCCCACCGATGCGGTAACGAGACTAAATTGCAATTGTGAAGTGCTTGGCTTTTATACATAAAGAGCAGCCTGTTTGCTGTATAAACCGAATGTGGCCGGCCATAAGAAGCGGACTACGCGCTACGCATTGCCAAGTAATTCTACGCAAATTGCAGAACAAATAGCGAGCCCATAACGAAACCGAAATGGAAACTGAAGCCCAACCAGAACCAGTTAGTGACGAAATCACGGAATACCCCCTTCGGTTAAGTGTGTGTGTGTGTGTGTGTGCTGCCTCCTCAGCGAACCTCAGAATGCGTTAATTTTTCTCGATTGTCAAAATCTACACATGAACAATTTCTTGAGGGTTAAGGCAATTGCCGAACCGTCGCTGGTATAGATCAAGATCACAAAAAACCCAATAAAAATAATCATGCATCAGAATTTACAACGGCACCGATGTATGTATACCCCTATAAAAACAAATAGCTACGATAAATTTAGTTATATTATTATTTGTTATGAGTCTAGACGTTCCCAATAAATCAAGTACGATTAATACTATGTTAAATACATATTTAGAAGTATATATATCAAAAAAATATAAATATAATAAAATAATAAATATATATATATATGGAAAAAAAAAGTTTATATAAATTTGTAATATTATACTTAAATCTGGAATATTATACAGAACTGTCTGGCAGTTCTTAATAAATCAAGTGCAAAAAAAAGATGTAAGCAATTCTTAAAATAAATTAAATCGTCTTTTACTAAAGCAAAACATGTTACATTTTCTTTACAAAGTACGAAACAAAAAAAATATTTAAAAATTTGTAATATTTACTACAAAATATTTATGCATTCATTTAACAAAAGCCTTAATAAAGTCAAAGGTCTCTTAAAATGAGTGTATTAGCAGTAAAACTAATAATCTGCTTAGACAAAAGACTTAGGCAACAAACTTTACACAGAACGTGCAACGAAGCATGGGCGGAGATGTCGGAAACATCGTCTACGTCTGCGACCAGCATTCACTTGGCTCATTAGCACTGACACTCGATGACTGTTTGTTTTTTTGGTTATTGTATTTTTTTGGTGCAGATCTAACAATGCGATGTTTCAGATTTGTGTACCTGCTTAGGCAAATATATATACTAGTTACGCCTTCACTTTCGTTGGCAGTTTATTCAACTCTTGCTGATTACTCAGCTGACGTCAGCGATGTTAGCCAAACCACCCACATTGTCATGAGGAAGTTTTATTTGAGTGTTATGGCATAATCCCATTAAGTGTCGGCTATTCAGACACATCTTTGTCAGTGGATTAAAGATAATGTTGAATTCGAACAAAACACATTTTCTTAATTACTAAATTAGTTTTTTTTTAATTTATAAATGCAATTGACTTGGGAGACGACCAGAGTTGTTGAGGTAGCAAAAATATCGTAGCAACTAACAAATTATTTTTGTTTTGCTCAGAATAATGGTTTTATTCTATTGTTTGCCTTATTCAGATTGATTCATACATAAATTCAGATAACGTCTGACATATTAACAACTTTTAGAACTTATAACAAATTATATACATTTAAAACAAATAAATTAATTTAAGTGAGCAATAGAATTCGCGGCAATCCCTTTCTCTACCCAACCTAATTTTATATTTACACTTTTAATTGCTACAAATTAAAAAAGAAATATTTATAAAATAAAATTGTTATGTTTGTTTTTTTCTTTAGTTAAGTGCTAAAATAAAGGTCAAAGTAGTTGTAAGAAAAAGCTTAAAAAATTGAAATATTGTTAGTAAAATACTTAACTGGCTTTTAACACAGTTTTTTTTTTATATCGATAGAATTGTTGCTTCTCTTAAGTGATTTTCACGACTATGTTATTATTTTAGTTCATTTAATTATATGTCTGATCATAGGCCATTCATGGGTAATTACATAATTCCTGCTTCCGTTGTAGTTTCACATAATAAAAAGGCCATTTCCGAAGCAATTGTCATTAAATACTAATTTATACACCAGCTATGAAGGTGCGTGGAGTGAGTTCTTCTAACATTTAACTCCTAACTAATCCTGCTTACTATATTTCTATAAAGGTTACATTATTTTCCTGTATACTGTGCTGTCTGGGAGGCTGTGCCTTGAGTGCACCACAGTGGCCAGGAAGTGGGTCTGCAGGCTATGGCTTCGCACCCTGGGCAGGATATGGAAACTACGCGTCATCATCGAGTGCCAGTGCAGCAGCCAGCAGCAGCAGCAGCAACAGTTTTCACGGCTATGGTGCGCCAGGATATGGCTATGGCTATGGCTATGGCTGGCCAGGATATGGTCAAGGATATGGAGGCCACAGAGGTGGCTACCAGCAGCAGTTCAATCAGTATCACTACAACGGGCACAACAGCTATGGATCTGGTCATGGATACGGCTACCCATTTGGCTATGGCAAATAAGACAGCTGACAAACTCATTTGCATTTATGTACGTGTGTAGATTTGTTTGCATGAATGCTGTGCTCTTTAACTACTGGAAATTTCTGTTTTGATTTTGTTTGATTTCTATTTGTTGGACTTTGTTTTGTTTTGGAGGTCAATAAAACGTAAATACCCAAATATGTACGAGCATTTGATGAATCATTTGATTGGTTTAGTGAAATTTATGTCGCTTGAAGCGGAGCTAAAGTAACCAAGGGAAGCTAAATACATATGCACGACTCAATATAAATTAATTAATTTTACTTTTGGATCTAATAGTCAATTATATTTATTGTGGGTTATTTTTAATACGAGTAATTAAGCGCATTTGGAGTAATGTCGTTAGGGGAATCGGCGCAGCATTTGTGCAACGCAAAATATATAAAAACTCTCAAATACTATTCCATTAATCCATTCTATAACTCTACCATATAAACTCATCTATATAAAAATTATTCCTCTAAAATTTAGCTTTGAAAAGAAATGCAGAAGTTTTTATATAATTATGTATTGATGGAGTTATTCATCAATCAATTTAATATTATTTAAACAAATTCATATATTGCAACGTATCTTTTAATTAACAATTTAAGCCTATCAGAATTAAATTTGTTTAGTAGTTAGTCTCTCTTTGAACTAACAATAACTTTTATTCAGTAAAAGTCACAAAAAGATGATACATGAGAAAATTTAAATTCCCAATTCTCCCTTTTTGAGAGGGTATAAAAACTTAAATTAAAAACGCCCTTTTGGTATTGCATATAACCTGAATCGGACTGACTGTTGGACCCATTCATAATGTTCAACCGTTATTAACACTTGCCAACAGATTCGCTTGCTTCCACCATCAGTGGGCTTTACATCTCTCTATATACATCTATAGATATATATTTTCATATGTATATAAAATGTTGTTCCATTTCAGACATTTATTGAATTTCTGCTCCTATTCATGTCGAAAACCAGAAATTTTCAGGGTCAATGTGTGTGCATGAGGCTGAGCTTGGCAACACACACATAAAATAAAAGCTGAAGTTCACAGCAGCAGCAGCAGCAACAACAGCAACAACAACAATGAAGACAAACAAGATATCGCCGAGAGGCGATTGCATAAGGGCGAGTAAAATCGCGCAGAAAACGCGTCTGTGACATAAAAACTGATCGCTAACAGCGCAGTCGGTTCAATTGCAGACGCGACTTGGTCCATGCATGCAAGCCAGTAGCAAGCACCATCAATCAGCGAAGAGAGATTTGAACTTGAAGACTGACCAGCAATATACAAACAATAAGACTACGACAATTATTGTAACGAGGCCATAAATCGTTGCTAACACATTTAATCCATTAAAAGTGCGTAAAAAACGCTTACCAAAAAAGTGCAACTTTGTGTAAAATGCAAATCATTGTGAGTAAAAACATTTTTTCATTGTGTTTTGAAAATAAATACATCAAACTGTAAACCTGTTGGTTGGTCGTGCAATCGAGTCGAGCATCTGAACCAAATCCAATATCAACTATCTAAAAAAATGTGCAACATTAAAAAGGAGAAATTTATTGTTAATAAAGTTCAGTTTTAACATCAATACTACTTTTGAAATTTACAAAAAGACTTACAATGCTTATTTTTCATTGCAGCGTCATCCACAACATTTGGTGCTATTGCTGGGCATTTGCTTGGTGCTGCTGCTCCAATCTGCCACAGCTGGAAAAATAAAGCTATTTGCCTTTAAGGGACCACATGCCGGCTTTGTTAAGCTGAAAGTGCGAACACCAAAGTTTCTGGGTCTTAAGCATGCTCTGGGCGGACTCGGTGGAGGCATTGGTGGTAGTGTGGGCATCCATGGTGATTTCGGCGCCGGGTTCGGCGGCGGTTACGGTGGCGGCTACGGCGGTGGCTACGGCGGTGGCCACGGCGGTGGCCACAGCGGAGGCTATCATCACGATGAATATCATCATGAGGAATATCATCACAGCAGCGGGGGAAGCTTTGGAAGCAGCGGCGGCTTCGGCGGCGGTCTATGGGGAAAATAGACTAAACTAAGCTTAAATTTAATGTTAAACACATCCTCTCCATGAGAATCATTATGTTTGTTATTCAGTTGTAAGTTCATTCATTTAAAAATAAAAGTATAGGTTCGAATTTATCTTATTGAACAAAGCATTTTTATTATATTTTAACTAATTGGTCACCTTTATAGTAAACAAAATAAAAAAAAAGATAAATGTTAAATACGAATTATCTTTTGACTCATCAATAATTGCGATAGTAAATAATTGCATAGTTGTAACTTATACCCTAGGTGGCGTATATACCGACATATACTGGTATTAACTCAAATGAGCTATAGATGGCGCTTTGACTCATTGTCTCTTGTATGAATATTAACACACTGTGTTTATGGGTTTCCGTAGTGTAGTGGTTATCACGTGTGCTTCACACGCACAAGGTCCCCGGTTCGAACCCGGGCGGGAACAAGTCTTTTGCTTTATTTTATTATCAATTACAAATGTTGTAAGAGAATTTTAAACAGCAAATCAGTCTCTTAAAAATCGAATACTTCAAAATTAATTAATTTCTTGCATTTATTTTTATGTTATCTTAAACTAAAAAGTTTATATTTAGGTATGTGCTTGGTTCTTCATGTTATGAGGTAAAGATTAAAATTATATTTACTGCATGCTTAATTCCGCATTGCATTCTGGCGACGCTTTCAGAAATCACCAAAGCCGCCACCTAAGCCGCCTCCATAGCCGCCACCTAAGCCGCCTCCATAGCCGCCACCTAAGCCGCCTCCATAGCCGCCTCCTAAGCCGCCTCCATAGCCACCACCAAAGCTTCCGCCATAGGCTGAAGATCCACTAAACGATTGGACACTTTGATATCCGCCGTAGCCGCCATATCCACCACCATAGCCACCTCCAAGTCCACCTCCATAGCCACCTCCAAACCCACCTCCATAACCACCTCCAAATCCACCGCCACCGAAACCACCTTTCCAGCCGTGCTTGTGGAACCCAAAGGGCTTAGCGACTGGAACGGGAACCGGCACCGGTTGAGGCACTACAACTGGCACGGGCACGGGCTGGGGCACTGGTATTGGTTGTGGCACAGGCACCGGCTGGGCAACCGGATAGGCCACTGGATAGCCAAAGCCACCACCTCCACCTCCAAACTTGCGGCCACCGAAGCCATGAGCTTCGCTGAATCCCAGTGCCAGGCAGAGCACTAACAAAAATCTCACAACGATTCGCTAGAATTCTCCATTTGTAATTGAGCTCGGAATCGGAACATTGATTTTGGGACTCACCCTCGTGTTTGGTTGCATGCTGTGAACAACTTCTAAGCTGCTCAAGATGCGAACTGTCACTTTTATATAGCGCCAGCACTTCCTGAACTTCCTTATAGCAACAGGTTCAACGAACTGTAAAAACCAACATTAGAACACGCCTAACCAGTTTTATTGTTTTTTGTGTGTTTTTATTTTTTGACAAGCCTTAATCATTAATATGAATGCGACTTATTTAGTAAGAGCAACTAATGCCAAAATTTAACAAATCGTGTGAAAAACATTGATAGCGTTCACGTCGTGGGTTTAAGGTCGTCCTCAGTTCCGGGCCCAGATATATAGAGTGATATGTGGGCGTTTATTCTTAGAGATCTTGTTATAAAAAGCAGAGTGTTTGCTTAATGGATAATCAGTTCACAGTTAAAGACAAATCAAATACAAACATGTTCAAGATTGTTGGCTGCTCCGTAAGTAGTTTCATTTCTTTGACCAACTTCAACAACTAATCTTTGACATATTCAACAGTTGCTAATGTTGGCGCTCCTTGGCCAAAGCTATGCGCAGTATCAACAGCCAGGTGCAGGTGGTGCGGTTGGTGGAGCTGGAGGAGCCGGCTCACCTGGCGCCGTCGATAATCGCATTATCGGTGGCTTGGGTGGTGGCTTATTGGGCGGCGGCGGCGGCGGTGGCTTATTGGGCGGCGGCGGCGGCGGTGGCTTGTTGAGCAATCTCTTCGGCGGCCTGCTGGGCGGTGGTCGTCGTCCATTCGGACAGCAATATCAGGCTCCTCTGCCGTCCTATGGAGGCTACCCCGGTGGCTATGGCGGTGGTTATGGTGGCTATCCTGGCGGCTATCCTGGTGGCTATCCTGGCGGCTATCCCGGCTATGGCGGCGGCTTTGCTCCTGGCTACGGCGGCGGCTACTACGGCTAAATTGTGCACCTATTATTATTGCCTGAGGCGTTGGAAGTATTATTCAAGTTATTAACCCTGTTTTCAATTTGTAGATTTAAGTTTGTTGACCATTAAAATAAAAACAATAAAAACAAAATTCGTTTTGCTTGTTGACACTTTGGTAACACATCTCGTATATGGGGATGTAGCTCAGATGGTAGAGCGCTCGCTTAGCATGTGAGAGGTACGGGGATCGATGCCCCGCATCTCCAAAAGTACATTTTTTGTAGTTTTCAAATAAAAATTATAAAAGCTGCCTACTTTGCATTGCCCGTTTTTTAAAATTTAAAACGCAAAGTGCTCAAGGTACATTAAATAACCATTAAGCGAATATATAAATAAACAAAAAATTCGAATGGGCTCAACCGGGATTTGAACCCGGGACCTCTCGCACCCAAAGCGAGAATCATACCCCTAGACCATTGAGCCGCTTGGTGGTTGGGGCGCCGTAAATAGTTTTGTGTTCATTCAAAGATAGTGGTGCTCAAAACTCAACTAAGCCAAAATAGTGGGAACTATTTATAGAAGCAAGCTACAAGAAACGATGTTAAATAAAGCAGCAATTGGGGCAAAGACACAGAGTGTAAACAACAGCATAAAAAAACACAAGAAAAGCAAGTCTATATTAAGAAACTGTCATACATCTAGTATTTTAAAAATTACACACATATATTTAAATACCCAATATAACTGTATTTTTTTGGCATGGGCTTCTGAGTTAATTAGATAAGAGCAACAACTTGATCTTATTGCACAATTTAGAAAATTAGCAAAAGCCAAAAATATAATTTCGAACAACTGGAGATGCGGGGCATTGATCCCCGTACCTCTCACATGCTAAGCGAGCGCTCTACCATCTGAGCTACATCCCCATTGAAACTGTTGTTATCCATTGAGCGTTTTATCAGTCGGCTTGCGATTTGTTGACATTGAAGAAAAACCCGAGGCGACTGGAAGAGTCAATATCTATGTGAGTAAATGAAATACCAAATTTTAATTAATTTCAAGTTTCGATTCAACTGATCCCACATCAAATGCATCCACATCACATTAGTTGCCAATGTGGCTTCTGTTGGCTGCTTCAAACTTGATAAGAAGTGAACGACAACTTGAATAAACTTATGCATTTAATTTCCGTTTCCGGTCAGTGAAAGTTGTCCAAAAGAAAGCAAGAACAACACCTGCCAGCTACCAGATGGAATCCAGACCTGAACCTGGACATGGACATGGACATGGACCTGGACCTGGACAAACAGCTCAGCTCGTTCCAGTTTCTCGTGCACCATTGTTGCCATAGCACAAACACAAATAAACGCTCGGACAATTGCATTTATGGGGAAGGAGAGAGCTGGAGCTGGAGACTGCGCTGCTGGATAGATGTGTGTGCTGCCCCGTTACTATCTGCACTTTCACACTTGTGTTTATACAACTGTCGCTCGTTGGCGTATTTATTTGCCAGCACCCCGCCCAGCAGAGCCTCGTCGAGCTCTATTATTATTTTCGCAAGTTATATAAAAATAATAACAGAACCGGACTGGGCAACGAGAGATGACCGAAGCCGAAGCCGGGCCAGAGAGAGAGAGAGAGAGAGCCATCCACGGCCATCCATTATGCTGCCGGGCATTTATTTGCCAAACAATTCAGCAGCGCGTTGGGTCTACGTCTGCTCCTTGGGCAACATCAACCACTTCATCAGCAGCCAGCAGCCAGCATCCAGCATCGGAGCATCGGCAAAGTCTGCAGCTACTATCTTATGGTTTATGATGGAATCAAAACAAATGCCAGCGTTTCGGTTGCTTCTGATGAGTTTGCTTATGCAGATTGCTTGTGGAGTTTTTCGGCGTTAATGGATAAATGTCCATGTGTGTTTGAGGATGAGTATGTGCTCTGTGTGCTCCTTCCAGCCATTCTGCCCCCAATTTGGCTCACATTTTTACATGTAACCCTTTTTAATGACTTGCAAACTGAGGTTACAACAGTTTGGTCACTTTAATTGTAACATTTAATTTTATAGAATCTTAAAATCATGAATATAAACTAGAAAAAAATTCTGCATTTGTATTAAAAGTATAAAAGAACTGGAAAATTATGTAGATTATATTTTTCTATTCAATTTTTTTAAAAGAGAATTATTCATTTTGTATAAAAATAAATATGTTCACGAATATATATGAAAATTTAATTTAATTTAATATTTCTAGTAACAGATATAAAATGTCTTAAGCCAGATTATGTTTCATATAATTTGCGGGAATAATATTCTTGTCATATTTGAAAAAACTATTAGAGTATGCAAAATTCTGCAGCATGAAGTGAATCTGTTTTTCTTGTGATTTTTTGTGCTGCTTTTTTGTTGCAGGCTTTTCAATTAAAATTGTATTGTTTTCTTTTACTTTGTCTGCGCTGTTTACTTAGGCGCTGCTGCTTAGCCGAGAGCACAGGCCATCGGGTTGGTGCCACAGCCGGGAAGGGGAATTGGTCCAGATCCAAATCCAAATCCAAAACTGCTGGCGCCCGCTTGTGGCGACGCCGGAAGCGACGGTGGCAGCAGAGTTGGTGGCGGCAATGGCAGTGGCAGCGGCGGCGGCGGAGACAGAGGTGGAGGCTGCCGTGTTGGGCCAGGGAAGCCAGGACCATAGGGAGGAATACCATGCTGATCACTCGGATAGATGTAAACATTGCTGTTGCCTTGAGCATGTTGTTGCTGCTGCTGTTGCTGCTGTTGTGGTTGTGGCTGAAGAGGTGCGGCATAGTAGGCAGGATAATAGCCGCCTGGTTGAGGTCCAATGGCAGCAGGATTACAGCCATAAGACGGACAGTTGAAGTAACCATTGATGGGAAAAGCAGCGCCAGCATAGAGCGGTGCTGCATTATGAAAGGCCATCCAACGATCGCGCCAGCGTCGAAACAAGGTGCCCAGAAAGAAGAAGGAGCGTCCATCGAAGTTTTCCGCCTGCGGCTCGTAATCTTCGTCCGCATCCTGCGCCACATCCGAGCAACTTGCCGCAGTGAGGCAAAGCATCAGCAGCAGCTGGCAAAGGACTATTCAATCAAATGATCTTTTAAATGAATTAGGATTACTTACTGCCATAAGCATTTTTATTATTTTTATTTTGGGAACTGTGCGCTTTGAAGTCTGCTGGCAAACTGCGCCCAAACTTCCAGATAGGCCTCCATGTAATGAGGCAGTCATTGAAGCTAGTTTTCCGGCCCATGAGATGCCGCCTAATGAGGCCTGTAATTAAATCTCTGAGTAGCCGTTGCTCTTGTAAACAGCAACGATGCGTGCAATTTCACGTTTAAAGATCACAATGAGTTGCAATATATATATATATATGTATATACATAACTGATAAGCGTGCTTAGCCACTGTCTTAGAGTCGCACCTCTTCCTAATTACATAACCGAAATTCTCCAAGCTTATCCAACGATTACAAAATCCAATAAATAATGCTTTGACTTCAAAACAAAGGCAGCTTCCATCGAGGCGTGGTCAAAGGCATTGCAGTTAAATATAAAGACGCAACTTGTAATGGAATCAATATCCATCATTTTCCAAATATGACTTGTTAGTTGGAATAATCAGAGGTTAAAGTTGTGTAATTTAACTTAATCTGTGTAAGATAAAATTCGACTTTAAATGTAGAAAGTGAACGTGTTAAAAACGAAATATATTCTTATTTAATTATTATTAATGAAAAATTCAAGCTCTATTCAAAAATTGAAATAAAAACGAATAAAAGATTTCAAACCATCTCTAAAGGGACGAAACTGAATTCATCCTAATAAAATACGAAAAAAAAAAACACAAAAGAAACACTTTATTTTTCAGAAAATAATTATATACATTTTCATTAATTAAATTTACTCTTCAAACAAATTTCGGATTTCCAAAAACATTTGCATGAATAACAAGTTTTTTTTCTAACAACCTTTATAGGGTTTTCCAGTGGTGTATCCATTAATATTCTTCCATTTTATATGATCAAAAAGTATTCAAGAAGCATGCTGCTAATGTTCCATTAGATCAAACCCTCACCAGGGGAAGTTGAAGTTAAAAATGTTAATGGGATTTAGTCTGAAATGTAAGTCAGGTAACCAAGTTTATCTTCAAATATATTTGGCCTCTGCTAGGCACTCAAATATGGGTTTAAAGTTTGATTTTTCTTTGCTGGCACGTGCCAGTCGTTATTTATTGTTGAGCGACAAAAAACTTGCCGGGTTTTGGACTTTTTTGCTTGATTCTGTTGTTTGCCACATTACGTTGCATGCCCGCTTAAAAGCAGGCAGCAACAAAATTTTGAGTTATGAGCACTGCGTGCCAGGTGTACAAAAACACCTCAGATATTTGTAAATAACGACTTCGAAGTACCCTGTACACTCAAATTGTAAAATAAAATTTGTTATATTCTTTTTCATTTGTTGTCAAATTTAAAATTTTTTATTTTTTTTGCAGAATATAAAGTAATCTTATCCGATTGGGTATTTCCAAAGCCAACAAATGTTACTGTTTGTATTTTGCTGTATATATATATAGTAGCGATATCTGCAGGTTTTGTGAAAGAGAGGAGGAATCCTCGATGCACATCCCAGCAGAATGTGTCGCCTTAACTAGAAGAAGACGCAGCATCCTAGGGGCGCATGTTTTGAATTGCAAAGACATAGAAGACCTCAATCCAACAAAGATCCTCACGTTCGTAAGGGAGTTGGGGCTGATGGAAGAGCTATAGGCTCAGAAGGGGGCACAATAGATCAAATAGGTCGCGGTGCAGCTTCCCCCCAATAATAATAATAATTTTGCTGTATTGACTGATATTAGCCTGATATTATCACATATTAAATAAATGACTTCAGTTTAAATTTGTTGTTAAATTAGGTATATATACATAATATTTTTTGTTTTTCTATTTTATTTTTCCAATCAGCTGTGCTTTTATATTGTATTTGTTTTTAATTATTTTATATTATTATTTTAATGTATTTAGTATTATTATTTTTTATTTTATTTGTTTAAAATATACATCTGCCTGAATATATATAATTTGATATATTTGTGATACAGGGAAGACATAAGCATTCCAACTCGACCTCTATCTTCTGTTTATATAGATTGAGAACTTCTTGTGTGGTCTGTTACCTATCGCCTCTCAATGTCAGCATGCCCACAGTGAGCGTTGTGCGAGGAGTATATTAAAAAGGTGACAACAATCAGTTGGATGCTGAATATATGGGTGTTTGGGCACCGTGTCTGCCAAAACAAAAACAAAAGGCAAAGGCTGTGAAAATTCACGCGACCGTGAAAATTTCGCACGTTTTTATGAGCAGGCGGGGAACACACAGAGAAATAGAGAGAAAGTGAGAGTGGGAGAGAAAGGGAGAGAGAGAGGGAGAGCTGGCGCCGTGTGCAAGTTGAGAAATGATTTCATAGACTAAGCTGCTCCCGAACATGAAACAACTTTGATTTCTGCGTTTAATTAAAAAAATATATATGCAAAGTCAACAGAAAAACTAAAACGAAATTACATAGAGCTTATCAGGGAGCAGGGAGCTGGGAGACAGGCAGAGTCGGCAGGGAAACTTTTCATAAACTTTGTTGCCATAAAAACAATAAAAACCGCAATTCTCCCCCAGCGTTGCCTTTGTTATCGAAATAAGCACCAGAAACTCAAGCGGACAATGGCCAAGTGTTGTCCTTTTTTACGACAAAGCTAAATCCGGCGGAACCACATAAATTATGTTAATGCTTATGTTGTGTACACGCCCACCATGTGTGTGTGTGTGTGTGTTCTGCTTGCTGGCTGTGCATCCAAGTTAGACCAGTCCAGTCCAGTCCAGTCCCGGATAATCACAAGAATACACAGCACAACACCAAAACGACATTGTGTGCCGAAATGACATTTGTTTAGTTCCGTGTAGAGTGGGTCGCCAGTCTTCTGTCCGATAGTTTTTGTCGTCTATTGAGGAAAATTGCTGACAATTGCTAAAAACTGTTTGCTGTGTGAGTTTTGGGTTTTTTGTCACTGGTCAGCTGCTGAGGTTAGCAGGGTGCAGGAGAAGACATTGGACAACATTTGCCGCAGGCGTGGCAATTACCTACATATGTATGTAGATACAACGTCAGTCAGAGCTGTGTAAATGATATATGTGCAGATTGAATGCACAACAATTGAGCTTATACAATTTGGTAAGGACATGTAAGAAGCCAAAAAAACAGACATGTCACAAGAGTCGCAGCGAAAAGAGTCAAATAGCCAGATAAAAATAATCTTGCACCTTCAAACTGCAAACTCAAACTAAATAAAAGGAACATATCAATCCAATAAAATATTGTTATTATTAATATTACACTTTTTTCTATATTGTAGAAATAAGCCCTTTTTATGCATAACATTATAATATAAGTTACCTTTAAGCTTTTTACTATAGATTAGCTTTATATAAATTAAATAAATTATATAAATATAAATATATATATAAGTAAAAATAAATAATACAAATATAATCAGTAAGCTAAAGAGTTTTATTATCAAGATTTTTATTATCTGGTCAATCAGATTGAAATAGAAGTACCAAAATAAATTATTTCTTTCACACTTAGCATACTTTAATTTTAATTTTAATATTTTTGAAACAATATTGTAGTCTTAAATAAAAAATAATACAAATATTGTGTGTGTAATTTTAATGGAACAATTTTTGTCATTTTCTAATAAATATGAGAAGTGATTAACTATTAATCTGTAATTCAAAATACCCCATTTAGGTATTTTGAATGACCACAGGGTATAATAAATAAAACTTTCAATTAATTTCTGACGTCCAGTTAGCATAAGCAGTCAGCAAGAGTCGCATAATAATGCTCATGAGGAAATTAGAAAAGGACATTGCTGTATCCGACGAACAAACGAAGTGCCAAGCAACCACATAAAAGGAAGGACATTGGAAATTATATCCATAAAAATGATTATGTATGATATGAACATATATATGAGAGACGGCTATTGTCCGAAGTATTTATTATTTTATCCATTGTGGTAGAAACCCCCTCAACTGAAATTATCTGCCTTGTGCGTTTGAGTATAAAAAGTATAGATAAGCCAACGGCTGCAAATAAATCGCAACAAATAAAGTTGCTGCTGGCTAATTGCAGCCAAGCTGCCCCCACAGAGAAAATAATTGAAAGCATCGTCGGGGACGACATGAGATACATTTGCAAAACCAACCACCGACGACCCACTGTAACCGACATCGGTGGACAGTGGACAGTGGACAATCATGCAACATGCTGTCGAACATATCCGTCGTTGGCTTCCGTTGTGCAACGTCGCCTGCAAGGACAACAGGTGGCAGCTGGCAGTTGGCTTATGTAAGGCTGTGCAGCAGTCTGAGTTGACAGGCATGTTGAAGGCGAATGCGATGCCACTGTTTACGGCCTCCTGCAAACTTTCTGTCAGCTGTCATCAGTGCAGACGCACAAAAGCAACATGAAAACGTTGCAAATTTTTGTCTCTTGTGACAGCAGGCAATATGTATGCTACGCACCGCTCTCGCGTATTAGATTTATGAAATAAATATGTTTTCCTTTAAGATAAAATAAAAATTACAATCGCATCAGTTATTATTGATGTGAAAGGCCCCGGCGAGATTCGAACTCACGATCTCCTGTTTACTAGACAGGCGCTTTAACCAACTAAGCCACGGCGCCAGTCGCGTCCGACGCGAAAACTACGAAATATTTTTTTCTGCATTTAAAGGACAGCTGCACTTTAGAATTTCCTTTAAAACAAGTTTTGCAGATTAACAATCAATCTTTAAAAATATGTACAGATAAAAAAAACAAGTCCAAGTGATGCTTGCAGCTAATAAAATAAAAAAACGATGAACACACTTCACATATGTAGGCCCCGGCGAGATTCGAACTCACGATCTCCTGTTTACTAGACAGGCGCTTTAACCAACTAAGCCACGGCGCCATTTGCGCACGTTGTAGACAAACAACTAGAAATTATGAAAATAATGTTCACTTGATGAATCAGAAAACATTGAGATAAATATAACAATTTCACAATATGTGTACCAAAACATAAAAATAAAAATATACTTTTATAGAATGTATTTAATTTTACTTTAATTATCTGATTCCCAAATATTCGGATAAATATAACAATTTCAGAATATGTGTTTATTTTAGATGTTTAGAAGAATATACAAAAATAAGCAGATTTATATTTACAATGTATTTAAATAAAAACTTGAATGATTCCCAAATGTTCAGATAAATATATAATTTCACAATATGTGATTATTTTGGGTGTTTATGAAAATAAACTAAATTAAAACAATACATATGCATAGAGTTTATTTAAATACATTGCATTATTTATGTTTCCTTTTATTATGTGAATTGTGTTTATTATTATATGTCAACCACAAGCAAATAGAAAATATAATTAAAAATTATCTTTATTTAACATACTAAAGGGGATTTTGCCTGCACACTTAATCAAAAAGAAACGGAATAAATATGATGAGAATGATTCGTAGTCGTGGGAAGTACATGTATATATAATTTTGTATATTCAGTGCATTAGTCAAACATTGTAAAGACTGTGCAGGGGAATGTACCGAGTTTGGCGACGGGGCTTTATATCTGCACATATATACCACTATCGTGGCATGAGTATAAAAAGCGGTTCGCTGCGCTGCAGATCATCAGAATATTAATCGCTGGCTTAGCATCAACATCAACATTTAATTCAGTTGCAAGTTTGAAATGGAGTGTCAGGCAAACGGTGATCCAAAGACGGGAGCAGCATCCATGAAATGTGGTGTTGTGGCTGGAGATGAGCAATTCAATGCACGTGCCGGAGTTTTTGCGACGAAGGACAGCGTTGCCGGACCCGTCACCAAAGGCGTCTATGGAGCAGTGAACTCGTAAGTGCAGAAGGCCTTCCATTCCATTCCACTTTCCATCTTAATGACGATCTTTCAATTGATAGCAATGGACATAGCCTATCACTGCAACATGGGCACACGGAACACTTTGGCAGCAGCACTACGGCTGCCGCACAAGCGAATCTCTTCCAGAATAAGCAGGCTGCTGTAAATGCCACCGCTTTCCACACTCACAATCGCACTCACGATCAATTTGGCGGCGGACTGAATATGCAAACGGCTGCTGGCCACTCAGCGGCTCTGGGTGTCACTCATGTGCCCCAGTTCAATATGACGACAGCGAATGTCGGTGGCAGAGCCAATCTGTACACCTCGCCTAGTGGCAATCTCAATGTGAATGCCACAGCCAATGCGACACGCCATCTCAGCGGACCCTTCAACGGCCAGAAAGATTTTGGAGCTGGTCTCGGCTTGCAATATAAATTTTAGACATGACACTATAAATTAACTTATCCAACAATATCTTACTTATATACCAATAATAAGAAAATATATTCATTAAAAAACATATTTGTTTGAAATAAAATACTTCACTTTATTTTTGAATAACAATGTTTAATGTAGTTTTATAATCGGTTTGGGAAGATGGAAAAGAAAAAGTACAATTTAAATTAATTCTATTTTGTAGCAAGTTTATTTTTATTGCAACTAAAGTTTGCCTTCAATGTGTTAATAGAAAAGATATGAACTTATTTATCAATATTTTACTTATATACCAATCTCGAAGATATATTACTTTAAAAAACATATTTGTTAGAAATAAAATACTTTAAATAGCAAACTTTATTTTTTATATCTCTATTATTATATAAATTATTTATATTTTGCAGCAACTTTTTTATGTTTGCAACAAAAGTTTGCCTTGAATGTGTTAATTGAAAAGACCATGGCTTACTTGATAAAAGTAAATTCATCTTGCAATTAACTCAATTAAACTGGAAATCAAAATAATAATCTGTTTGCCTGTTTTGTTGTGTATGAGAATATTCACAAATGACAACTTTCTCATGTCTATTTTATGAATCATATTTAGCAGATAGAAATGAGTGTCGCTTTGAGTGTAAAAAGATGTTTGTAATCATAATTGAATGATATTTTATAAATCAGTACAAAAGAATACATATTTAATTCTTGTAATTTACTATCAATCAACTGTTACCCAACTATTTTAAAGTTTCTCAGCATCTTTGATGTCCTTATTAAATTCTGTCCCATTCCAATTTATGTATTTAAATTTGTAAATGGTCGAAATGTGTCTAATTTGGTGGCTCATCTAATATGTAAAACCTGTTTTATCTCGAAGCTGCGAGCATTTGCATATCAAAACCGCTTTAGGGCGCGCCGATAATGTCCCAAGTGGCAAGCCGATTATGGCCATAATTACATGTCATTACAAGGCGTTTATAACGCGGACTCATTGGGGCTACTTGGGGCTACCCCCAACCGCCCAACTCGTCTGGTCTTGCCAATAATATTGACTTGCGCACTCTTTCATTGTGTGCAGAAGTCTACCTGCGACTTAGCCCAGAAATCGCAGCTGACATGACTGGGCTTCTTGACTTTGCCGCCTTGCCGGCTTGCCGCCTTAGATTCTTGTCATTTTTTATGGCTTAGTTGTGCGGCGCCTGTAAATATGCAAAGTATTTCGTATAAAACGCGTTATTTATGTCTTGCGACGGCGGCGAACCAGCGAAATTAATAACCCAGCCTGTCTATGGCTACATATATATATGTATATATATATATATATGTATATATGTATATATGTATGTATGTATGTTTGTGTGTGTTGTGGAGTTTTCATGATGCGCATTATTATGACCAAATTATAGCTAATACCTACCTACCTTATGAAACAGTTGCGCTTTTTTCCATCACCCAAAATGCTAACCAATTTTTATGTAAAGCAATTTATTTTGAATTATTTTTATGGCACTTAACGTTGCGCTTGGCCACATTGCGAATATGTGGCCCAGACATTGGTAGTAGCACGGCCTGACTAGGCAAAAATTATGGGACTTGTATTGTTGTATTGCATCAATTATTTTGGCCTCCTTTTTCTTTGATAAATGATGATCATCTAATGTAAATATATTGACAGGAAATGTATTTTTTTGGTAATCAAATATAATATTATTTATTATGTATTATTTTTACTTTATTTTTCGCATATTTCTATAGATATTTTTATTAGCTATACACTGAAGTTCAACGTTAGTCAAATGCTTGTCAAAATACAAGATACAAATATATATTTTATGAATACCTCGAGTAAAATTGGGAGATATATGATAAGACAGATATCGAGGAGAAACTAAGAAAATAACAATTAGGTTTAAAATTCAATTACTAAAAATCAATTCAGATTTTCTTGTGTTTGCTGTGCATAACACTTCAGTTACTAAATATACATAAATATTACTCTCTTCATTTATTTTAAGCAAGGACATAGGTACACATCGATGTTTAGAAATCAACATATGAATATGGAGCTAAATTATATTTTACATCTTGGATTCGTTTGCTTATACAACGTAAGTCGCTCAAGTAATAAAATATTATATACTCTACTGTTTCATCTGTTTCAAAGTAGTTAATGCAACTGATTAGTATTGATGGCAAGCCATTGATCAAACCAGAATTAGATCGAGGTGACGCGAAGGGTGGTCAGAAAATTGCCTTGCCTCAAGATAGATTCGCTGACAAAATGCAAAGCGAAAAATTTACACAACAAATTTTTGCAGACCTCAAAAAGTCGGCAACTGTCTCCAATTCGAAGGTACAATTGGCAATCAGCAAAGATAATTCACCCCACAGGCTACAGCCAAGAGCAGCCGAAGATAGAAAAAATGATGATCGGGTCATAGAATTGACTATTCCGGTATCGCAATTTAAAAGGGACCAAAACGGCCAAATGGGCGACAATCAATGGGGTGTTATATTTGGCAAAGTTGGGCAGAATAGGCGATTAAATAAACAACGCGTCAATTCTGAAAATATTCCGGAGGAATCAGTTACGGTCAGAGATTACTACCCATATACGTAGGTATATAATATATGTATTTATATTTATATAATTTGATGTTTATATTTATGCACCTATATGCATCTATATTTATTTTGGCAAACAGCGGCACTCTGGAAACGGTGTGCATGAGTAGATCTACAGTCTACAATATTCCTCAGATAAAGAAATGGCTGCATCACCAAATGTATAGCAAGGCACACCGCAACATTGTCCTTTTGAAGGATCTCCGGAGGAGCTTGTATAAGAATGGCAACTCCGAGGAATGCCATACGGTATTCTATTCAAAATTTGGGAAATATCAGGAGTGCGCAATGAGGCGAAATCAACGCCTGGAATCACTAATTCCCAAATATGCGAGACACCAAATACCATCTGAATAAATATATAATATATCCATTCAACCCAAATGTCGCTTTCTTTAAGGAATAAATAGACTTATATAGATCACATTAATTCTTCCAATAGAAAATGAATGAATTCGGGCTTTAACCAATCATCAGCTTACAAATGACCTTTAAAGTAAGGATAAATATAATAAATATATTAATGTTAGTTAACAATACTTTTCACACGAGTTCTCTTCGCATTTACCAACACTGTATCGACAACAAACGAAAGACTGTCTTGGCAACCATTTTCTAACAATCACAACTTCAATTTAATTACTTTAACTTTATTAATCGAGTGCGTAGCGAAACAACTATTTGGATGGATTTCACTTATTGCGAGTTCCCCAGCACCGTCTCCGTAGACACCTTCAAGGCCTATTTCAATGCCAGCGATGTCAAGCTGCCCAAAGTCAACAGTAAATCATTGGAACAATTGCAGCCGGAGACCGGCGGCGAATGCCAACCAGCAAATCAAGCGAAAAGTCTGCGACATCTTGTCCTCGATGCCATCGTGAGCAATTGGAGCGGTAAGTTCCACCCGACCCAGCATGACAACTTGTCTATTATTGTCGATTATTGGGGATGCAGAGCTGCCGCTCTACCGTCAGTTGAGACGACGCCAGGACCGTAACTACATACTCAGCCAGCTGGATACGCAGCTGCCGCTGCAGTTGCTCAGCGTCCACATTCGCGACGATTACTTCTGGCGTCGCTGCTACGAGCTGCGCTGGCGCCTTGCCCCATTTCAGGCACGCGGCATGGAACGGCGCTGGATTAACATTTACATGGAGCGACATGTGCAGGAGTTTATTGAAAATATGCAAACCGGCGACTACGAGCAGGATGGCAACGTGCAGGCCGCCTTGGACATCTGTGCGGCGTACATAAATCAATTGGAGATAAATCTGCTGCAGCCCGCACCGCCCGACAGCGAGAGCAATGGTGAGTCCATCTTCACACACTGGTCCTTGTATACCCTGACTATATAAAATATAAATATATAAAATATATATTTTAAAAAAATAATAATAATAGCTGGATTCTGTTAGATGAGTTTTTTAACTGGCCAAATCATGAAGAGATATACCAAATGTACAAGCTAATTATTTATAAATAAATAATTTACTTGCTTTAAATTGTTTACAAATAGCTTCAACACTTTCCTAGCCAGAGACAGTATTTATTATAAATAATTAGTTTTAAATGTTCCTTCAGCTAGCTTAATGAATTTATATTATAAAATTATATTTGAATTAATATTACAAATGTTACTGGAAACAAGTTTAGAATCAATGCTCAATATTTACCTTATTATTATTACTTAACAAATAATTATGAAAATACTGAAGTATAAAAAAAACTAATAGAAAATGCAGTATATTTACATGGAATTCTTGGTTATGGTAATTTGTGATTGATTGTTTTTCAATACGAAAACTTATGAATTTCGATTTTTAGAACCGTTCGTCTTCGAGCAAAATTTATATTTAAAATACTAATACTCATTTATAACTACATAGTATTAATGTTTTTTATTTATTAAGTGTCTGAATTACAAAACTGAATTAAAAATCTTTTCTGCTCACTTTACATTATTCACAAAGATTGAGCTCTTCTGCTTTAAATCCATTTCGATATTATGTTTTAAGTATATAAGGGTCTGCTACGAAAGGGACATCACAAACAATGCCATTTAGTCAAAAGCACCCTCAATTAAAAGGGTATAATGAGTCGACTCACCCACAACAGATCACATTCCACTTGATTACCTGCTGAGCAATCTGCCGGACTTACGCCGACTGCGGCTGAGCTACAGCACCAAGACAGCGGGCATCAATTACCAAATAGGCTGTAATCAACTAACGCCCCGCGACATTATCCTCCTGGCCAAGGGACTCAGTCAGTGCCACGAGCTGCGCAAGTTTTGGTAAGGCTTGCCACTGTCCCAGATCTTCATCTATCCATCGAAATATCTATCTAACTTTTAGTCTGCACAATACGAAGCTTGTGGCATATCAGTTGCGATTTTTGGCACACAGTCTGGACAAGGGTTGTCATCATTTGAAGGAGTTATCCTTTCTGCACTGTGCTGTTGGGGATGCGGGCATACGCTGCTTTCTCGGAACCTGCGGCAAGGAGTCCTTTGCAACCCTTACCGTGCTCGACCTAACCAACAATAAAATCAGTATGTTCAAATTGAGATTTATTCAAGCATCATTGTTTTACACTTATCCTTCTCTCAAACCAGCGGAGGAGGGTGCCTACACCCTGAGTAGAATTTTAACAAATGTGCCCCTCAGGCGACTCGTTCTACGCCTGAATCCCATTCAAAGCGATGGGGCTGCTGCCATTTTCCACACACTGCAAATGATGCCGATCAGGGATTTGAATTTGGGCAGCTGTTCCATCAGTGAGAGCATCACCAAGTTGTTCATGATGCTCATCTGCCAGCACAAGACTTTGCTCCACATCGACATATCAAACAATTGCCTGGGCGAGGTATGTCAAAGACTGCAACTAACTGAATGCTAACTATTTGTTCTTGTTTAGGACTTTGGCAAGCACCTGCTGAAGATAATTAGCTGTAACAAGATGCTGGAGGAGTTGGACCTACGCAATACGGGTCTCTCCTTGGACATGCGCCACAAGTTCCAAGAGATTCTCCTGAAGAATGCCGAACGTAAAAAGCACGAATCCCTCAAACAACAACAACGCGATAAATTCAATGCTATGCTCAAACTATAAACATTCTTTGAGTCATTAAGACTTCCTTTTTAAATTCTCTGATTTGATCTCTTGATTTTTGACAATTTCTAAACCAATAAAAGTCATCATTATGACGTATTTTTATAAAGGAACATTTTTATGGATGCCTTTAAATCCAATATTAGCTTTAAGTTTTATTTCTCGGCTTAAGATATTAAAATAAAAAATGATATTTGAATAATTTTTTTTTTTAGTAGCAAGTAAATCATCAGACAATTATTGAAAATAGTTATTAGAATGTAATATTATAATACTACTTTAAAATGCATCCGTTCTGTATAATCATATATAATAGTTATTAAACTACCAACTTTTGACATACGATTTAAGAAATTAGATATAACTCTATTCTGTTGCTGTAATTCAATGAATATTTTTATTAACAATTTTAATATTGTTCTCACAACATATAAGTATTTATTAGCCAATATACGTAATGTTTATAGAGAAAGGATGCTCTTCTGCAAAAACTAAGAACAGCACCTATCTATTTTTATCTAGGGTACAAAAGAGCTGTGGCAAACTTGAGCGATCAAGCAACTTTCATTAACCCTCGACCTTGTTGACTTAGTCCAACAAAAACAATGGTAACTTTCCCTACCAGGGAAAAAAACCCAAGACCCAAACACATTTAACACTCAAGCAGCCTTTTTCTAATGGCTTTGCCCAACAGCAACAACAACAAGAACAGAAACAACAACAACAATAGAAACACCAAAAACAACAACAAACTAAGTGGCGCTCAGCGAAACACTTGAAAATGAGTTGGAAAAAAGGTAAAAAGTTGTTGAAAAAATAAATAAAGAAAACTCTATTTACTCTGGTTGTTGTTACTTTGGTTGCCATTTTTCGGTTAGTTTGTTGTTGTAGTTGGCTTTTGTTGCCTTTGGCACGCAAAGTGTAAAAATGCTTTTTATTCCATGTTAATGGTTAATGGCCTTTAAGTGGAGCCCCTCAAACTTGCCGGAGTCAAATTTTGTGGGCATTAATTGGAATCATTTTCATAAACTTTGACTGCAGGTGAAAAGCATTCAGTAATTTTAGATTAGTGGAAAATGCCAAAGTTTCAAAATCGACCAATTTATTTGCAATGCATTTCTGTTTTGCTATTTTTCAATTAAAAACAATTTGTTTTCTTGTCTGCAGCAGGTTTTTATTACTTTTTTCCCTTTGTTTTGACCGTTTTGTGTTTTGTGTTTATTTAGGACCTGGCTTTGTTTTATCTGCGCAAGTGGAAACCAACAGCGACAAAGATACACATCCATATCGAAAAGAGACTCGTGTACTCAATGTACACACATAAACATATATTCATATATATATATACCACATATGATAATTGCGTTTTAAATTCTGATATGTGTACAAAGTTATGCGGAACATTCCCAGCAGAAGTTTGCAAGCAACTAGCTAAAGTCCTCCTTCATTCTTTGGGTAGCAACATTTAGCAGCTCATAAATCTTCAATGGATACAGTTTTGTGATTTATAACGACACTAAACTTGAGCGGGCAACAATAAAGAATAAATATATATAATGGCATAAGCAACACAAGCTCAAAATCTTTAAAAAAAAAAACCAATATAGAGTTGAAGTGTTTCTTAAAGAAGAAGCTTGAAACGCAGAGGAGCAACAATGATTCTTAATAATTAATATAAAAATTACACTTAAATACATCAACATTTTTTCAAAGCTCTTCAAGTACGAACATGTGAAGCTCTCAGAAGCTAGAAGATAGTGGACACTTGAGGCTACTTTTAGAGATAGCAGAGGAGACACATTGCAGTGGCCTTACAAGCGGTTGCATTAGATAAGTAACAAATGTAATTACTAACAAATGTCGAAGAACATTCAATTAAATAAAGGCCAGCTCGTCAGAGCAGAGAGTTCGATTATAAACTTCATATCATCGTGTTTACTACACACTACAAGTATTTTTTTACACAAATGAAATGAAATCCAACTCTCTGCTCATAATAATAAATAAATAAATAATAACAAAAACCTGAACTATTCAAGGAATCTTTAAGTGCACGCTTATATTTTTCAGGCACATTTTAAGCTCTTATTTTAAAACTCCGCTCTGATGAATAACATATCTAACATCTGAGCTGCATAAATATATTGATTCCTCCTCTAAGATTTAAAGATTTAAAATTCCAAAAGATTTTTTAGTCGCTCAACTTGACAGAGCAGCCTTAAGTAATTTAGCAGCTTAATTGTCTCATTTTTTCATCCGATTTCTTCGCAAAGCCCATTTAGAATCATTGTCATTGGAGAGTAGGTGAATCTGATGGGCGTGGCAATTTGTAGCGTGCCACGAAAGCTGCGAGAAATTCTGACAGTTATCATAATTATTTATGAGTTGTCTTTTGCCTTATTTTTTTTTTATAAATTTGTTCTGCCCAGCTGGCTGCTTGGGCGGAGGTCAAAGGGTTTAATGCGCCAAATGGGCAGGCAAAACTTTTCAAATTAAATTAAAAGCATTGCCAAAAGGGAAAAGACAAAACAAATTTGATGAGTCAGCTGCGTGCTGAGAAAGTGCAGCGTTTAAAAGTCAATAAATCAGCGGCTAAATGATAAGGGTAAAATATATTAAAAAAAATATAAACCTATAATTAATAAAAGATAAAAAACAAAAATGCCGACAGTAAAAAATAGCTGAAGTTTGGCAGAGGGAGACGAAAGCAAATAAGATAAAGAAAACCGGTTGGAGTCGTATCTATCTATCTTAGGTAAATAATGCATGACAAAAGCATCTGCAAGATGCAGAAATTATGTATAAAAATTTGTCGAAATATCTATTTTTGCATGAGCGGCTCAATGGTCTAGGGGTATGATTCTCGCTTTGGGTGCGAGAGGTCCCGGGTTCAAATCCCGGTTGAGCCCGTATCTCCAATTTTTTTTGTGCTCTCTCAATGTAAATAATAATAATTTTATACAGGCGTTGACAATGTGACTTTATTGCCTATACAATAGATAAAAATTCAATTCAGGATTTGCTACCATGCCCTCCTCTGCACGTTGTCTGACATGACATTTTTATGATTATTTCACTCCTTTCCTTTATTATTTTTTTTTTGTTTGTTTGTTTGTTTGCTCAGTGACAAATTTACATATCCCTAGCGTTCATGTGTCTGTCTGTCTGTTTGTCCTTGCATATGACAGCCTTGGGAATTTCCAATACCAAGACGCAATCTCAATGCCAATCGTATGATGTGAGAATTGCTACAAGCGGCTGTTTCTTGTTATTCTCGTTACAGTTCTTGTTGTTGTTGGCGTTGTTGCTTTTGCCATCGTTGTCTAAACAATAAAGAATAATCGCTTTGGCTTGTGGGCGTCTTTGTTTGCCTGAGTGCCAGTGGCAGTGCCAGTGCCAGTGCCTCGCCTCTGTAAGTTTTTCTCAAGCATCGCAGTGCCTGGTTTTATTGCTTGTAATTTGCATGCAACTTACGAATTGGCCAACTTTTTTATAGCCGACTTTAAGCCGATTAAATGGTGCATATACCCCATGCATGACTTGTCATATAAATTTGTTAGCAGCTAAGTGCAAAGTTTGCTCATTCAAATACTTTGAATACATTCAAATACAAATACTTTTAATAAAATAATTTCAATTCTTATAATCAGATCGATAATAACAATTATAATTTGTAGTGAGTGTGAGATTTATTTTAATTATTGTTTTTATATTTTATTTATTTTGAAATCCCCCTCTTCTAATGCTGCCTTGATAAAATTCCAAGAAATACTTTCGTGACTTGCTGTCACTGCGTATTAATCAGTAAACCTTTCGCATTGCCCATTTGGCCGGACAATATTTGCCAATCAATTGCCACAAAAACACAAATTGTCCATTTTCCTGTCGCCTGCTGTCGCCGGTGCGGAAGGAATTTTAAAATTCAAATATAAAATAAAATGCCCAATTGAAATCGGTTGCACAATGAACATCGACTCGACTGTCCACAATGAACCCAAGACAGCTCTCTGCGACAGGTTCAGCTTCAGGTTCAGCTGCCGTATTGGGGGTGTCTGGGTGAGAGAGCGGGAGACGGGGGAAGGGGGGGACAAAAGCGAATGCTTTGGAGACCGCAGCAAATAATATTGAAAATCCGTAGACAATTGTGTATACACATTTGAGCACTTGGCGGACCCGTACACTTCAGTTAAGTCCGCTGCTGGTAATGAAAATCAACTGAATTGGAATGGAGTGAAAATGTCCTGAATTTGCGGGTTTTCATTTGCATGCATACGAAATGGAAATTCCTTATTTCTTTTTTAATAAAAAAGTTGACGCCGTCTCAGCCGAAATGCCAATTAAATGAGCGCCCGCAACTGTTGTTTGTCTACAAATTGAATGCACAATGGAACAAGCAATGGAAATGTGAAACTCTCTCATTAGCACAAATCATTGTCAAACATACACACCTACATACATCATATAAAGTAGCCACAAAAAATACTTATATATATGCAGGCATTACAAATTATTAACATTATCATCATGTGAGCGAGGAGCAGCAGGATAGGCCAGGCCAGGCCAGGGCAGGCCTATCTGCATAATCCACTGTGAGAATATACAAATGATTTGCCACAAACAGCCAAGCCAAGCAAATTGCAAGAGCATCAAAAAGCAAGTTCTGGCAGTGGTCAGGCTGCTAAGTGGACAAATCTACCACAAATACGAAAATCACCCTCATTATGGCCAAAAGCGTAAATTCCTCGTCGCTCCTCGCACTGACTGTGTGTGTGTGTGTTTTTTATCGCAATGTCGACAAGACCACTGGGCATGTTAACAGACAACATGCTACGACTGCCACAGCCAACTCCCGTTAAATGGTCAGCCCACACAGCAACAGCAACACCAGCAACAACAACCACAGCATTCTGAATGATGGCGACTGCAACAAAAAAAAAAAAAAAAAAAAAGGCGACAATGTTCACAGTTAGTCCGCTGCCGGACCGACCGCTGTCATCATGGCTGACACTAAAGTGGTTTAAGGCGATAAGATGCCCGAGGTTTGTGTGTTCGCCTCGACAGTGGTCAGCTAT